GTGAGAACCAGCCAAAACAAGACATTAGGCCCCGCTGGCATGTGTCAGCGGTTGAGCATTGACCTAGGATCCAGGAGATGGTAGTTCAATTCCAGGTCAGGGCACATGCCCGAGTTGCAGGCTCAGTCTCCAGCAGGAGGCATGCAGGAGGCAGCCAATCAATGACTTTCTTATCCTGGATGCTTCTATCTCTCTCTCCCTCTCCCTTCTTCTCTCTGGAATCAATAAAATAAAATAAAAATTTAAAAAAAAACAAGACATCAGATTTGGACCCCCAGAAACTTCCAATGTTGGAATTATCAGATCTAGTATATCAAATAAGTATACTTAATATAATATAATTAATAAAATGGAGCTTTAAAATATGAGCAAGCGCCCAGACAGGCGTGGCTCAGAGGCGATCGGGGTTCGATTCCCGGTCAGGGCACATGCCTGTGTTGCGGGCTCAATCAATGACTCTCTCATCATTGATGTTTCTATCTCTCTCTCTCCCTCTCCTTTCCTCTCTCTGAAATCAATAAAGGTATATATATTTTTTTTAAATAAAAATAAAATAAAATATGAGCAAGCAACAGAAGACAACAGATTTTAAAATAAAGAGCAAGCAGATGTGAAAATAAAAATACTCCTAGAAATGAAAAATATGAAATTGAAATTTAAAACTCAATAGATTTAACAGCTGATGAAATACAGCCACAAATTATGAAATTAAAGTTCTTATACGTCCTCACACCTTTACCAATACTTTTCCTAGTTCCTCTGCTCTGACAAGCTTGTCATGTGCCCAACCCTAAATCAATTAGTGTGGCCAGTGGGATGGGAAATGGTATTTGCCTTAAACCATTCAGGGTCTATTCCTGGTTTTAAGGATGGGATCAAATCCTAGGCCACATAGCTGATGTCAACTATAAAACAAAAGTCAAGTAGGCATTCCATCACCAAAGGGATTCATTTGAGAAAAAGAAAGGATCGCAATCCAGCGGGTGCAGACATGGGGAGCCACGTGCATGAGGAACATGTACTGCTGTGAAAGTGTCGCATGCTAACCAGCTGGCCACCCGAGAGCTCCTCCCACAGGCCCTTCTGATTTCTGTCCAGGTTAAGGTCTCTGTCATAATTTTAACACTGAAAGTTGGCGGTATGGAGTGAGGCAGGCAGTTCGTAGCGGGGATTCTGAGCACTGCTCCTTGGGGAAGGAGGAATAGATGGTGGGCACTGAACAGATGTCCCCTTGCTGAATGTCTTCTGTTGCTGCGAGAGAAAACAGTGCAGACTCGGGACCCAGGCTTGTTCTGTCACTACCCACATCAGTGAGGGCAGGCTGGCTTTGTGTTCCCAATCAGTGCAGTGGGCTTGGTGTTTTAGTCTAATCTCGGAGTACAAGTTCTGTTTTAGAGAAAAGCTTGAAACACGTGCATAAATGTATCTAGGCAGCTGTATTACCAGTGAAAACGGACTCTTGCCATGTCGTGAGAAAGGAATTTTAAAGGGCATGTGGGAGAAATTTAAGCGTAGTGGCAAGGTTTATTGGGGTGAAGGGAAATAATGCATCCTCGGGGATGTGGAGGGCAGGCAACTGCCCTGAGATCCCTGATAACCCTCCAGATATTTTCTTGGTTTTGGAGAAGGAACAGGCCTTCGTGCAAACCATCCAACCTACTTCCTGAGTTGTCCCGGGCTAGACTCTGCCTCTTTCTGTCACCACTTTGGCTCCTACTGTGCATGCCCTGAAGTTCTGCTGCCTCATCTAGTTTCTGCTGCACATGTGCTTACTTCCCCCTGCACCATCTCAGTTTCTACTGGGCATGAGCCTAAGAAAGGAATTTTCCCTGCTCTTTGTATCCCCTCCTGGGTAATCACAGCTAATGACCAGTAGCCCAATTCTTCCTGCCTGTTTGGGGGATGAAGTCCCCTTGGCAGAGGGGAGCCTGTGAATGCTGTGGCTTCCTAGTGAATCAGGCTTATTGTCTGATTCAGCTCCCTAATGGATCAGGCTTAATGTTCAATTCCATTTGCTCCCTTTCTTAACTAACTAGCTACCTGCACTAACAATTGACTAACAAAATCCTGTTTATTTTCATAGCCAGTGGAAGAGCTACTTAGAGGATCTCCAAGAGTGTCTGAAGCAGCTAGGATTGTATTATTTGTGCCTCCACTAAAAGTAGTAATAGCAACCTCAGATTGATCACTTTTAAGTGCAAGCTCTATATACTGAGTGCCCTTGGTGCATCGGCTCTTTTTTTTGTTGTTATGAATCCTCAGCTGAGAATATTTTTTCCATTGATTTTTTAGAGAGTAGAAAGGAGGGAGGGAGAGAGAGAGAGAAACATCGATGAGAGAGACACATCAATTGGCTGCCTCCCATACACACCCCGACGAGGGCAGGGGATTGAACCTGGAACCTTGACCGGGAGTCAAAGGTTGTGCGAGGCCCTAACCACTGCTCAGGGCCGTGCATCAGCTCTTTAACTCACCTTCAACCCCATGAGGTTTATATTGTCATCTAGCCTTCCCAATGAGGAACCTGAGGTTTAAGATATAAATAGCTGGCCCAAGGCAACACAGCTAAAAATGGCAGAGTCGGAACTTGAACCAGGCCTGCGGGACCCCAAGCACTGATACAGTGCTTTCCCCTTGCCTTTGTCCCTGGCCCCCACCCCTCCACTCCGTCCTGCAGTATTATAATTGGCTGCTGATGAAAACAAATACTGTGCATTCAATCTTTGCATCCCAGCACTAAGTTTGGCCTTATCTGCTGTCTGAAAACTGCTCTAAAAGTCAGTATATTCATGGGCTCTGGAAAGACAATCTGTACAATTCAGTTGGAAAATTCAAGCAAAGGCTGCAAAACATACCTTCCAAGTCCTATGAGGTTTTAGTGAATATTGTCAACATACAAAATGCCCAAACCTATGAAGATTTTTTTTTAACTGTAGGCTGTCCCAAAAAATGTATACACATACTTTGAATAATTATAAAAGCAGTGTTTATTAAAATGTATTTCATTTTCAGCACTGAACTATCAGCTGTTAAAGTGTGTATACATTTTGGGGGGACACCCTGTATTTTTATTGATTTTTAGAGAGAGGAAGAGAGAGAAACATTGATGTGAGAGCAGAACATTGATGGGCTGCCGCCTCCTGCATGCCCCCCGCTGGGGATTGAGCCTGAAACCTGGGCATGTGCCCTGACTGGGAACTGAACAGGCAACCTTTAGGCAAACAACTGAGCTACACCTGCCAGGGCTAAACCTGTAAAGAATTTTCATAAGATTTTATTTGAGCCAAACTGACGATAATTGCCCTGAAAAGTAAGATGCCACAGAGAAACGACAGTTTGCAATTTCTTTTCTGTATTTGGAATTAAGGAGAGAAATAAAGAAGATTAAATAAAGGTGGGAGAAAGCAAGGCAGGGATCAGATTACAGGACAGTTAACAAGATACATGCTCTCTTGAGGGTGGTTACACCTTGGAGGAATATTGCTTCAGACATTTCACAGGTGTGTTAACCTAGGGGTGGGGAACGTCTGGCCCGAGGGCCATATACTGCTGGTGAAATCATTTGGTCTGGCCCTGCCAAGGCAACCTCAGGTGGGACTCAAAATTCAATAAATTTAGGAGCTTTTTTCACAGCTAATTTTTAAACTAATTTTTAAGTTGATAATTTTGTATGGCCTGCGGATATGTTATAAATATTCAAATGGCCCTTGGCAGAAAAAAGGTTCCCCACCCCTGATAGACACAAAAGAACAATGGACAGGAATTCAAAACTTATTACATCACCGCTTTTTCATCCACAGCATCAAGAGGATCCTTGTCAACATCTGCCAGACTCCTGTTCCGCTGCTTCACTTTGTCTTGTTTCTTCTGTTATGATATATCACACCTGGAAACAATAGTTGTTTAAGGCCAGGGTTTAAAATATCAAAGTCAAGGAGTCAGGAAGTGGTCACCATGTGTATTTCTGAAGAAGTGACAAACTCATTTTCAAACTCGTTTTTCTGTTCACCAGAGATGATACATGGGTGCTGATATATAGACCCACTAAGCAAAGGGCTCAGGTTCCGTTACTCTTTAGGTCAAGGAAGGAAGAACCCCTATCAATAGGTGTTATATAAGCAAGTTCTTGGTCTGTCCGGGCTGGGTGGCTTACAAACAAGAGAAATTTATTTCTCACAGTTCTGGGGGGTGGGAAGTCCAAGATCAAGGTGGCAGCATGGTAAAGGACCTCCTCCTGGTTCATAGCCAGCGGCTTCTGGCTGTGTCCTCACACGGTGCATGGGGTGAGGGAGCACTGGGGAGGCTCATTTATAAAACACTGTCCCCATTCACGAAGTCTCCGCCCTCATGACCTAATGACCTCCTAAAGGCCTCACTTCCTAATTCCATTACATCAGGCTTTAGGATTTCAACACAGGAGTTCGAGGGGACACAGACATCCAGACTCTAGCAGGAAGTTCCCATCACTTTCTCAAATGTAGGTTCCAGGGTGTTTGAAAGTTGGAGGGAGTGACTGGAGACAACAGAGTAGAATGTACTGCATTTTTGCAGGGAATTGGATGGAATCCATTGAAGGTTCCGAAGTTTTTAGAACTGCAAGACACAGGCTGTGATGCTTGCCTATGGGTAGGAGCCGTGAACAGGACTGGGGATGTGAGAGCCTAATCCTACTTGAAAATGTTATATTTAGACACTTACCAAAATGTCATACTAGCAAATATCATATTTAGCAAATATTATATTTAGACACTTAGCAACTATGGTTAGCAAGTAACCAGTTTACTCAACAGAGGTCTCAGTTTCCCCATCTGTAAAATGGAGATGAGACCCAAAGGATGAAACGAGATATGCATATAATTTTTCTGGTACTTAATAAGCACTTAGTATCTAGCAGCGATTATTATTACCATTTTAATTGCACATAGATCCCTTTTGAGTTTGTTCAGATGATTGAACATATTATAATTTACATTATAATAACTAACAAATGTTATCCTTAGCAGATACAGATCTGTGGATCCAGAGTGGCTTCTGTGGTAGCTGAGAAGTATTTCGAGGCTCTTGGCTCAGTGTCTTGGCAGCAATTTGATCTGAAGATGGCATCCAGGGTGCTGTGGGGCAGCCTAAGCCTGCTTCGCCTGGCGTGGTGTCTCCTTCCACAGACAGGCTACGTGCACCCAGATGAGTTCTTCCAGTCACCTGAGGTCATGGCAGGTAAAGCACCCCATGTGTGGTTAGGATAAGTTGCAGCAAAGTCTGGACTGGAGCTGATTGGATATTTAGTGGAGAGGGAGAAACATGTCTGTGTAGATGAGCAGTAAATCCATGAGCCTCTCGGAATAAGAACTTGGGAGTGGGGACTTCACATCTCCTTCCTGAGTGGTGACACTGACCTTCTGGATGATACTAATGAAATGCCAGCCTTGTTGATGTTTTTCTGCTTGGATCAACAGTCCAGGTTACTGGGAAGAGAAGTTGTTTTCTGCTTCTCAGTGGAAGGATTTGAGTTGGGCTTCCCCTGTGGGTGGGAAAATTTACACAGGGTTGTAATCTGAGGTAACAAAACTTTTCTTCTGTAGATTTATATGAGGGCTGAAGGAACTCAGATCTGGAATGCTCACTTGTTAGAGCTTATCTGCTAGGCGGTGTAGGGCACATCATGAGGATGGTTACCAGGGATTTTGAGTCTTTTCAGATGCCGTGGGCACATGGCTTCCTCCTCAGGGTTCAATATGGCTGCTTGAGCTCCAGCCATCAAGTCTAAAACCAAGTCTTTCCAGCCATTGAAGAAGAGATGGGCATGCCTGTGCTATTCAAGGGCATTTTTGAAAGTCACATACCTTTTGCCCATTTCCAACCCATTAGACAGAATGTATCACTTGACCATACCTAGCTGCAAAGGAAGCTGAAGAATATAGCCTTCAAACCTGATGAAATGTCCTGCTAAAGAGGTTAAAGAAGAAGGAGGGAATGGTTATTGCGGAAATATCCAACTATTTTTGCCACAGGGCTCAACAAGTGGATTTAACTTGAAAGATCCAGGCTTCTTTTCCACACTTTTTAAAAAACCTGAGCCAGTAAAAAGCAGCCAGATTGATCTGACCCTAGATTTCCTGTTTCCCTTTTCACCTTCTGACGTAGAGAGAGAATGGCTAAAAGGCTGGAGGAATAAGTAGGAGAAACAAAGAGCCCTAAACAAAATCAGCAATGTTATCAAGCATGAGAAGTTGTGGGCTTGGAGCTCAGATGCACAAAGTAAGAGTTTGTTTCCTTCGCCCCCACCCCTCAGAGCTCTGGGATACGAGGCGCAGGATCACAGACTGGCCCAGGCAGCACATATTCTTTTAATTGCATAAGTACTGCTTGAACATATTCTTATGAAAAATTTAAATATCATAGGCAAAACTAAAGTCACTTTTGACCATAGCCATAATTGCTTGCTCCCTTGCCCCTTCTCACAGTTCCTGTCCTGGAAAACAATCATAATTACAGAGATGGGTTTTTATCTCTGATTTTGGAGACTTTAAATTCTGAGGAGAGGAATTAAACCTCCCCATGATCCTCCCCATGCACCCTGTCCAGGGCACATTGTCACCTCACGTCCCAGGCATGGTTCCTCCCGCCCTCCTCACAGGTGGGGCCTCAGAAGGGTTGAACTACCCCATATTCATTTCTGTTGCTGCAAAACAAGTCATCACAAATCTAGCAGCTTAAAACTGTTAGTTCACCGTTTCATAAGTTAGCAGTCCTGCATGGGCTCTGCTCAGGGCATCGCAAGGTTGAAATCAAAGTATGGGCTGGGCTGAATTCTTGTCTGGGAGCTCTGGGGGAAAATCTACTTTCCAGCTCATTCTTTCTGTTGGAAGAATTTAGTTTATTTCCGCAATGGAACTAAAGCCCCCATTTCCTTGCTGGCTGTGAGCCAGGGGCTGCTCTCAGCTCCTAGAGACTCCCATGTGCCTTGCCAATGGCCCCTCCATCTTAACACAGCAATGGGGCATCGAACCCTCCCAGTGGTTTGAATCTCTGACGTCCTTTTCTGTCACCAGCTGGAGAAAATGCTCTGTGATTATGTCAGGCCCATCTGCATTATCTCCCTATCTTACGGTCAGCTGTCCCCTGCGACATAACCTGATCACAAGAGTAAAACCCATCATCTTCACAGTCCCAGGGATTGCGTGAGGGGCGTACATCAGGGGGCTGGAAAATCTTGGTGGCCACCCTATAATTTTGTCTACCACGTTCTCTGAGCTTGGAACCGGCTCACCTGTGCTTCTCTCCGCAGAGGACATCCTGGGCATAGAGGCCGCCCGGCCCTGGGAGTTTCAGCCCAGCAGCTCCTGCCGCACGGTGGTCTTCCCGCTGCTGACCTCTGGCTCTGCCTTCTGGCTGCTCAGGCTGTGGGAAGAGCTGGGGCCCTGGCCTGGCCGAGTGAGTGGCTATGTGCTGCTGGTGGGGCCCCGGCTCCTCCTCACGGCCCTCTCCTTTGCCCTGGACGTGGCCGTGTACCGCCTGGCCCCACTGTGGAAGGCGGAGCGCTGGAATGCCCTGGCCCTGCTGTCTGGTTCCTACGTCACCCTTGTCTTCTACACAAGGACCTTCTCCAACGCCATCGAGGGACTACTCTTTGCATGGCTGCTGGTATTGGTATCCCCTCGTGTAGCTTGGAGCCCCTCACCCAAGAAGCCTGCTCCAGGCACGTGGTGGCACAGCTGGCTTCTCGGGGGCATCGTGACTGCTGGCTTCTTCAACCGACCCACCTTTCTGGCCTTTGCTCTGGTCCCTGTCTTCCTCTGGGGCATCTGTGGAGCCACAGGCCCTGCCTTCAAGTCACTGACCAAGGACGCCCTGGGGCTCCTCCCAGGAGCAACCCTCACAGCAGCAGTGTTTGTGGCTGTGGACAGCTGGTATTTCTCCAGTCCATCTAGATCCAGTTCCCTTGTCCTTACACCTGCCAACTTCTTGCACTACAACCTAGACCCTCAAAACCTGGCGAGGCATGGCACACATTTGCGGCTCACTCACCTGGCAGTCAATGGCTTCCTGCTCTTTGGGATTCTGCATGCCCAGGCCCTGCAGGCTGGGTGGCAACACCTCCAAGGCTGCCTCCAGGCCTTTGTACAAATGGGCTTCCTGAGGGTGCTGGATGCCCGGAGCCTGCTGTCCAGCCCCAGGTCTCACCTCCTGCTCCTCTACTTCATGCCCCTGGCCTTGCTGTCCGCTTTTAGCCACCAGGAGCCTCGGTTCCTGATCCCCCTTCTGGTCCCCCTGGTCCTGCTTTGTAGTCCACAGACCCAACCTGTGCCCTGCAAGGGCATCCTGGTCTTCTTCAATGCTCTGGGTGCCCTCTTCTTTGGCTGCCTGCACCAGGGGGGCCTAGTGCCTGGCTTGGAGCACCTGGAGCGGGTGGTTCATTCACCTGTGCTGCCAAATGTACCTACCCACTACACGCTCCTCTTCACTCACACCTACATGCCTCCTCGGCACCTCCTGCACCTCCCAGGTCTGGGGTCACCTGTGGAGGTAGTGGACATGGGTGGGACTGAGGATTGGGTTCTGTGCCAAGCCCTGAACAACTTCACCAGACAACCAGCCTGCCAGGTGGCGGGTGGGCCATGGCTCTGCCGCCTTTTTGTGGTGACCCCTGGCACCACCAGGCCTGCCATGGAGAAGTGCAGCTTTCCCCTCAAGAGTGAGACACTTGTGTTTCCCCACTTGACCCTAGAGGACCCACCAGCCCTGTCCTCCCTGCTGAGGGGCGCTTGGAGGGACCATCTCAGCCTTCACATCCTGGAGCTGGGGGAGAAGCCTGACAACACGACAGAGAATCCGCTGCTGTAGGTGAAGAAGGCACCACCCACCTTCCATGTGGGCAGCTGGGCTGGGACAGAGCCCTGATTCTCTTCCTTTCCTTTCCCTTCCCTTTACTGTGCACAGCCTTTGGCTGCTTTACCTTCTGGGTAACCTGGCACCTTTTCCCCCTCAAAGACCAAAGATCTGCCAGTCACGGCCCTGATTCCAAGGTCCCTAAAGAACCTGGTGTAAGCAATGGTCACTGTGATGATTTAAACATATGATAGCACCTGGTTGTGAAGAGACAATGACCTACTAATGACATTCCTGAATGACCTCCAAACCTTCCAGGATGCCTTACCTCTTGCTGTCATGACAACCCTTTGGCTTCCTAGACACCTAGAAGGGGCAGAGTGGGGATGTAGAGGGAGTAGGTAGCACAGATTCAGGGGACCTGAGTTCTAGTCCCTGGTCTGCCACTCACTGGCTGTGTGAGCTTGAGAAAACCCCTTCCCCTTACCCAGCCCGCTTCCCAGCCTATAGGATGGATGAGGTTCTCTGAGGTGTCTGCCAACTAACACTGTGCCATTCTTGGGTCTGCAGCACATGTCCCCTGGGTAGACAGGCATGTCTCTCCCAGAGCTCTTTAAGCATAGAAGTGGCTGGTGGTGTATTTAATTGCACTTTGGTGCCTGCTGCCTTAGTGTTTGTTTTTTTACCAAAAAAAAAAAAGTAGTTCTGGAATATTTCTCTTCACGTCCTCCTAACCCCCGTCTGTGAAATCAGTGGGATGCTTCAGCATCTCACCCTTTAGGGATTGTTCTCCCAGATAGATATTCTCCCTTTAAGGGTCATTTTCCCTCCTCAGCCCGCCCCAGCGAGACTGGAGAACATACAATGCTCGATCAGCACTGAGCAGCACTTGAGACAACCTGGTGCTCCCAGAAGCCTTTCTTTGTAAATGTGATCTGGTCCCTTTCCAAGCTCAAAGCCCTTGTCTGAAACCTCTCCTCACAGGATGGAGAGCAAACCCCATGCCAGACCAACACCTGTTGCTTTGATGGAAGCCATCACACCCGAGCACATTGCTCCCACCATAGGCACCCTCTACCCAGTCCATTGGGAACATGAGGATCTGTGGCACTATACCTGTCCTCATCTCCCCCCTCACACCTCTGCCATCTCATGAGAACAGGCGCACAGGCCACAGAGATCAGTGAGCTGGAGGTCAGCACGGAGGAGAACCTGTACGAATGACCAAAACCAGGTCCTTCTCTAGTTCCGCCTTCTGCTGGCTGAAGCCTTGGGTCATCTTAAAGCTACACCCCTCACAAGCATGCTGCTCTGTGACTGCTGCTAGAGTCTTAGTGCCGCATCTTCCTCAGGACTCCAACCCCAAGGAAAAGTCAGTAGTACACTGGTAAATGTATAGTAACCTTTTCTCCGGGGGAAAAAAACACACCCCAATTTGTAGCATTTACCAATTTCTGTGTGTAAATACTCCCACATGGTTGATTTCAAACTACTAAAATGATGTCACTGAACTCCAAGTTGGAAGGAGATGCCAAAGGTCTACTCCCATGAAAAGTATAAGCTGGCTCTAGCACACTATTGGATATTTCCCTCCTTTAAACTCTAGAGACCCATTTGTGACAATTCATTGTTCTTCTGGCTTGTTTCTGCTATGAACCTCTGACTTGTCTTCCTACCCCTTAGTGCTTAGCATCATCTCTGGCAAATGATAAGCACTTATTTTGCAGCCAAATATGGCATTTCTGTCCACAGATATAAAACCAAGTGCCACTTTGGAGACATCCAAGACTCTAGGGTCCCACACTCCTTCAGGCTTCTGTCTCTTCCCTTCCCCAGTTGGATCCACCACCTCAGAATTCCCTGGAGAGACTGTTGGTGTAGCAGTCCACATAGACTGTGGTGGTCTGAGCTCTAATAAATTTGTAAAGTGTGTGCATCCATGTGACATCAAATGGTGAGTTGGTGGCCCACGGTGTAGCTCAGTTGGTTGGAAAAGGTGAATTGGAATTGCCCTGCAGGATGAGGGGGTGAGTTGCTTCCCTTTCAGGCAGAGCTCAGAAGAACCTGAAAGGCATGCTGGGAGATTGTTGCCAATGGGGAATGGGGGAAATCAATTTGGTCTGTTTCTTTAGTAATAGGGTAACTTGTGAGAAGGAAAGCCACTGAATACAAACACTGGAGGCTTTTATAATGAAGTGGGGAGACATCCCAATCACCTCCAGTTGGAGCAAAAAGGACCCGTTTTCCTCCCTGCTCCCAGACTCCTTCCACAGACATGAAGGAAACTTGGTTCTTATACATTCCTTCCACCAAAAATAAGTGCCCCTTCTCTTGATTTCTTTCCTTTTTCACTAAATGACCAGTTTGTCTAGAAATTTCATTGCTTCCTACACTTCCTTGTCTCTTCTAGAAAAGGACAATGAGTATGCTTGTTTATGGTGAGCGTAGGGGTTTGGGCTGGTGCTGCTCTGATATCCAGAGACCAATGAGGCAGACAAGACAGTAGAGTGAACAAGCTCTTCAGGCTCATCACTGTAAGGCTCCAAGGAGAATCCAATGAGTCGCCTCCAGTCCGGGAGAAGAAGGATTTCTCCTCTGATGGGAGGTGAAAAGAGTAGGATGCCAAACCAGGACTTTGGTCATTCTGGCCTCAGAGGGTTAAATAGCACCTCTGATGGAAAGATTGGAGGTTGGGATGCCAAATCAGAAGTCTGACCATTAGGAAAGTGGAAGACAAGCTACTTTAGTTCCTCCATCTCCAGGGTAGGTCGACAGCCCTATCCAGCTCCTTGTGACTAACAGAAAAGCCAGAGTATAAATTCTGTTTGGTTACCAGCCAGCCTAAAAGCTTCTCCTGTGGCTCTGAGCTTTCTGGATTGCATGAATAACTGTGTAGCCTACTCAGAGGTGATCAGAAATTCAGTCAGAAGCCTCAAATGACAGGACATTTCTGTCCACAGTGCATTTCCTATTAGTGGGTCCATTAGCTGCACTATAGTCTTTAGATTGCATCCCTGACCCTCTAAAATGGGGAATAGGAATCCAAGTAGCTTGTTCCTTGGTAGGCAGTAGCCCGAACACCCAGTGGTGATGGTAGGGAGTGGGGAGGCAGGCACTGAAGGTCAGGGTACATGCCATAGAGAGCTAATTATGAACTTAGGCCCTGGAGTCAGAGGCCTGTATTCACACCCCGCTCTGTAAGGCCATGGGCAACTTAAGAAGTAACCTACACTTCCTCATGTGAAAGTGGTTGTAAGGATTAAGTGAGATAACCCACAGAGAGTGCAACTGGCAAGTGCCAACACAGAGTAAGCACTCAGTATGTGTTAACTAGTACCACGGGCCTACAGTCCCCGGGAATCCTAATCCATCTTGCCAGAGAAGTACCACACTTATACCCATTACTCAGCTTGCACATTTAATCAGAAGATTTTGGCATCTGCTGGGTTGTCTTTCCATCCACGATCTCCGCTGGAAATAGTTCCCTACTACATCAGTGCAGTGGCAGCAGCATCTAGCAACAGTTTCAGTCCCATTAGCAGGGGGCAGACTCTCTTTCGGGCAGTGGCACGGTCCATGGCTCTCTGTACGTGGTGTATCTGGGCCCACCCTATCTTCATGTCTGTTAGGCTTCGGCGGCTTTCTTCACAGTGTGCCCTGTCCGATCACAGGCCTCACAGGGTATGTCCGTTTGGCCAGGGCAGTCTGATGAGGGGACGTCTGTAGGACGACATGGGTCAGGATTCGCAGCCATGCGCAGTGCCCGGGATGACTCCTTGGCGCCGAGGCCCGTGTCCAGCCCAGAAGGGAAAGCGGACGCTCTCGGCCCGGCCCAACCCGGGTTTAGTGGTTTGCGCCCGGGCCCCTTTGGCTACCTGGTGGTGGCCCCGCGCGCTCCCGGAGGCCGCGGCGTAGCTCCTGAGTGAAGGTGTCTCTGAAGCGGGCAGCGCGGCGGCCCAGGGAACCCGAGGGCCCAGCCGCGAGGCCTCGCAGCCGCCGGGCCGCGTCCTGGCCGCGCAGCTGGGCCTGCAGCAGCGCGAAGGCGGTGAGCTGCGCCGCACGCCGGATAGGCCGCGACTCGGAGAGGCGCTCCACCAGCTGCGGGCTGTGCAGCAAGACTGCCAGCAGCCGTCTCAGAACCATCCTGGGAGCGATTCGGAACCCGGAGCGCGCCGCTCTAGTTTCTGACCGGCGGCGCCGGACAACGGACCACGTCTGAGCCCGCGCCGCCCGGTGACGACTCTGCCGCGCTGCGATTGGCCAGCAAAATGCCGACTTTCTGCAGCAGCGTTGCGCGTTTCCGGTTCCGCCACCTCCGTGTCTTCTGGTTCCCGGAGTGGCGGCGGCGTCCTCGTCGACCTCTTTGCACTATGTCCGGTGGCCTCCTGAAGGCGCTGCGCAGCGACTCTTATGTGGAGCTGAGCCAGTACCGGGACCAGCACTTCCGGGTAAGGGAGGCCGGACCGCGAGAAGGGAAGGCTCTGGGCCAGAACGTTGAGAGTTGATTTTCTCTTGTCTCATTGTGTCGTCTGCCATTCTCTGGTTTCCCGAAACCCGAAGTGAGGTTCGGGGGCCTGCTGGGGAATAGATGCTGAAAGGGCGTTTGGATATCACTGAATCCCCTTCTCTCCTAGAAAGGGAATTTGAGGCTGGCTCTCTCATTCCCTTTGAAGCCGCTCCCTGTTCCTGGTCCAATGCAGAGGGGTTCGAGCGGCAATGGTAGTGGCTCGCGTTTTCACGGGCTGTGCCTCGGTGGGTGACTTTGTGATGAGGGGAAGGTGTGTCCTTTTTGACACCTGGAGTATATGGAGGCGCCTTCCTGACTCATACCGGGGCTTTTTAAAATTTCATTGTAGTAAAAAATATATGGGCATTTAAACTATCTAAGCAGTTGTTGCTTTGAACATTCTCAATGGGAGTATTACAGGGGTACCCTTCTCAGTGCAAATACATTTATTTTTCACTACGAAAAATAAAAAGGCCCTGTGTAATATACTGGTTCAGGGTCTGGAAATTAAACTGGTCCATTAGAGAAGGATCCAGTGCTGAGGATTCGGAGTGTGCAGGGAAGAGGCATGCCACTTGTATGGCAGCATAGTACAGAAGGAGAGTTATGTGCAATATAACTTTCAAGCCATGGGCCTCTACTAAAAGCAATCTGGACCTTGCATAAGTGCTTCATAGATTGTGAACACCTCTCACTTTTTTTTTTTTTTTGGCAACGTATTTGTCATGGATTGGGATGATGAGAAGCTGATTCCCGAATCAGAATGAATGAAATTTTTTCTTATATTAGGAATACTATTTAAGCAGGGCTCTTCTTAGGTTGTGTTGCTTAACTTTTCTCTCTTTAAATTCAGGGTGACAATGAAGAACAGGAAAAATTACTGAAGAAAAGCTGTACGTTGTATGTTGGAAATCTTTCCTTTTACACAACTGAAGAGCAAATATATGAACTCTTCAGCAAAAGTGGTGACATAAAGAAAATCATCATGGGCCTAGATAAAATGAAGAAAACAGCATGTGGTTTCTGCTTTGTGGAGTATCCTTCCTGTGTGTCTAATGTAGCTGTTGGACGAGGGTGGGAACTAGAGTGGTTAGTCACCTGTTTAAAAAAAAAGAGTGAGGATATTCGCTAATTAGCATCCCTGAGGAGGATATTAGCTAATTACCATACTTATCTCTCTCTCCTTCTTTCATCTACCTCCTACCTTCTGTCTAGTTTGTCTACTCATATTGTGAAAGCTGGTAACATTTACATCCTGTTCAGAAATCCATACCTTGTTTATAGTTGGTTTTTTTTTAATCCTCACCTGAGGATATGTTTTTATTGATTTCAGAGAGGAAGGGGGAGAGAGAAAAAAAAATTGATGTGAGAGAAACATTGATTGGATGCCTCCATACATGCCCCTACCAAGGATCAAACCTACAACCTAGGTATGTGCCCTGACTGGGAATCAAACCCATGGCCTTTTGGTGTACAGGGCAATGCTCCAACCGAGTCACCTGGCCAGGGCTATAGTTAATTCTTTAAGAAAAACAATCTTAGAATATATACTCATGGTGTTTAAAAAGTCAAGGGTAGCTCTGGCTGAATAGCTCAGTGGGTTGTCCCAATACATCAAGGTTGTAGGTTCGACTGCCCGTTAATGGCACATACAAGAATCAACCAATGAATTCATAAAATAAGTGGAACAGCAAATTGATGTTTCTCTCTCTCGCTTCCGCTCTCTCAAATCGATAAAAAAAAATTTTTAAAGTCAAGGGAATAGTGAAAATAAAATCCCTGTACCATTTTAAGCCGAGAGACAGTTACCAGTCTCTTGGGTGTCTCCAGAAAAAATCCTGTGGATGTATGGTAGTGTACTACATGCAGTTTTTATCCACCTCTTAGCACTTGTTCTGTATTAGCACATGTTGGTTTCTTTTTAAAATGGCTGTATATTATGTATTTCATTATATTAGATGTATATAGCCTGATTTTTATAGGTCAAAACCAAAACTATTTGTGATCGTTACTAAATATTGGAACCCCTGGATTTATCCTTTGGTTTCTTCCTGATATTTTTTCTTGGTCATTTTGATTTATATTCTGAGAAAGTTTCCAGACCTGATCTAACATGTCTTTTGAAATTTTTTCTCCATGTCCTGAATTATGTTTCTTTTGGTTGTATTTGTGCTGTAAATTTTCCATAAAGGTCTGGTGATTCTTGGGTTTGCAATCATAATTAGGGAAAAGGCGGCTGATTTTGTGGACCCAAATTCCATTTGTTGCCTTACCTTTGGGATATGTGGGTTTCCCAAATGCCAGAAAGAAAGTGATTGTATTTTGGCCAGCTAACATCAAGACAGTGCTTTAGTTCCTCCACACAGTTTGTTCAGAACCCTACTATTTTATTTGTATTTGCCTGGAATTAAATGCCTTCCTGCTAGAGAGTCTTCCCACATAGAGAACATTAATTAAACCCTATTTGCAGCTTCACTTCTTATTCAACTTTGAATTAACAGCCTCCTGGGCTTGCTGTCTCCTTTAAGCTCCTTCAGAATATTTCAGATTGACTTTGTTTTATCCATTAGCATTGTCCCATTGGCTTTTGTTGAATCACTAGTCTGCTGATGGCTTCTTCTATTTTCTGGATTTTTTTTTTTTTCTGTCATTTTAACAGGGGTCTTGGAAAGGAGGGAAATGTACTCACTATGAGCTTGAACCAGAAGCCCCACTTCAGATGTAAGGGACCAGAGCATCCATGTTTTGCTTTTGCCTCTGGTAGCAGTTCACAGGGGACAGGGAGAATAATGAAAACACAAAAGACAAAGAAAATTCACCTTGTAGATAATAATCTCTGAGAACTAGTATTTTTGCATTTGTCTTGTAAGTCAAAGATCAATGATAATGGCAAATACCCCAGAGAGAGGCTGCCATTGGCAGTGTTGTTTTCTGTTTGCCCTTTTAGTGTGCATTTTATTCGTTCAACAACAAAAACATTACTGAATGCCTACTGTGTGCTAGGCATCTTGTAGGTGCTGGACACTGGAATTTTGGCAAGTATTTCCCTGTGTAATTAAAGATAAGGAAAAAACTGTCTAGATCACCATTTCTGAGTCTTTCCTTCTAATGAAATACAATGGCAATTCCTTATGCACTGTGACTTTCTCTCTTATTAAGGTTATTCTTGAATATACAGCTCCAAATATGGATGCTATTGATTCCTTAGGTGAGTGCATTGTGTGGCCTAAACCTGCCCTGAACATATTTTATATTTTGCAGTCAAAATATGGGGAGAATGGGACCAAACAATTATTAACAGGATTATTCAGGAAATCATGATCATTGTAGCCATGGATAAGTGTCATATTTGACTCTAGTGCTTCTGGACCAACCTTAAACAGGCCTGTGCAAACCAGGTTATCTTTAAACTCCATGTGGTTGGATTATTAGTTTTTGTACTTTTTCTTAACTCTGCTTCATTTAGGTGTTGTTTTCTGTAGTTCCAAAAAGGTTTGGAGAAATGCTATATAATGTTCCTTAATACTTATACTTAAGATACTATTCAAGAGCAGATGCAGAAAATGCCATGCGGTACATAAATGGAACTCGTCTGGATGACCGGATCATTCGCACAGACTGGGATGCCGGCTTTAAGGAGGGCAGGCAGTATGGCCGTGGACGGTCTGGAGGCCAGGTATGCAGGAAGGTTCTCTGGACTCAGCCTTTACCTGGGATTCCAGTCCTAATGACAAATGTTTTACCTGTTTGTATTTGCTCTTTTGAAAATAACTTTGTGCCTATAACTGGCCTGAAGTGAATCTCAAATCGTCCATTGGAATTAGTACATTATTTTCTTCACCAATGAAATGGTATATTCTGTACGTTTCCACAAACAACTATTGCCGGACTTTTGCTAAGGGCTAGATATTTTCCACCTGCAAAAGTGTCTAGAATGGAAGCAAAATGCACTTAGTTTTGTTTTTACTTTTAAATAGCCTAATTTAAGTACTTTGCAATGTGCTCTTTTTGACTGCTGGTGAATGAGTATGCACCTGATGTTTGGTCAAAAATGAACAAACAACCATTAGGTAGTGTCAGATAATTCTACAAGTTAGTTGCTTAAAAAAATTATGTCCTGCTTGAATGTTAATTCACATTATGACATCTGAAAAGGCTTAGTTGTTTGACATATTTACAGGAGGCATATTTGTTACACTAATCTTCTCTATACTGTAACTTGTGTTCTTTTCAATTAAGGTACGAGATGAGTATCGACAGGACTATGATGCTGGGAGAGGAGGCTATGGAAAACTGGCCCAAAACCAGTGAGCAGTAAGAACTCCATCATGAAAAACTTACTCCTTTGGCCTACTGAATTTAACGTACATTACCCAAGGTCTGCAAACCTGCCATTTTAAAATCTTTGATCAATGTCTCTACTGAGCCAGAAGCCACTTCATGGCTTTCCTCTGAAAATTATATTAAAGGACAGAATCCAAAAGAATGCCTTTAATTCTAGTGTTAGAATATTGGCCATGTGTAAGGTTACCAGAATGATTTTCTTACTAGGTCAGAAATCGTGTTCCTTGGCAACAGTTTATCTATAATGTTGATTTATCAGCTGAAAACACCACACTTCTTTTAGGAAAACTGGAAAAAATTTAAAATTTTGTTTACTGTGTTTGCATCTAAGTAGGTTCATGGTCTATACTGGGGCCTGGAATTACTATTTAAAAAATTTTAAGTTTCCTTGAGATAAAGTTGAATAAACAGAGTTTGTAATATTGTATACCTTTGTTCTAAATTAGGAACAGATGTTTTGACAACTGAATTTTTTCCTATGTTGAATGCTAATCTCTACAGGCAAATTTAGGAGTCAAGAGAACTTCCTAAAGAGTTGGCGCAAAAGTAAGCCTTAGATAATCCCAGGGGATACTACCTGCTTACATGCTTTATATATCAGGGAATTAGGTACAGGACTTGCGGGGAATTTACTAAACACATTTTTTAAAAGATGTGTTTTGCTTAAAGCTAAAAACAAGGGTTGGTTTGTATTATGGAGAACCTCAAATACTCTTAACAGAAGTGGAGGACACTGTCAGTAGGAAATGGGATGAAATATCAGAGGACATGAGTTAAAACATTGCCTTGACATGATGAAAGTTGCTTTGAGGGCCATCAGATTTATTATTTTCATTTTCAGAGTGATCTTGGGAATGGAGTAGGTCTAAAAAAAGAGCTTGAAGATCGAGAGGCTGCCTAACAAAAAATGATCAGAAATGCTTCCCTCAGGAAATGTGTTTTGGCCAATTGTCACGTTGAAGTCTGTCTTGTTTTTTCACTATTTGTGCTTACTGAGTTTCAGAGCCTTGACAGCTATGGTCTCCACAGAGAGGGGAGTCTATAGAGTATTTACAGTTGTAAGGCAAGAGGTGATTTCTCTCTAATAGTATAGTGAACTGTTGCTTTTTAAAAATTTACTGGGGTAACATTGGTTAATAGGATGATATAGGTTTCAGGTGTAGATTTCTATAATAAAAGATCTGTATATTGTACTGTGTGTCCACCACCCAAAGTCAAATCTTCTGTCACCATATATTATACCCCCTTTACCCCCCACCTCACCCCTTCCCTCTGGTAACCACCACACTGCTGTTTGTGTCTAGGAGTTTCGGTTTTATATCCGATATATGTGTGAAATCATATGGTTCTTAGCTTTGTCTGACTGGCTTAATTTCACTTAGCATAATATTCTCAAGGTCTGTCCATGTTTTCACAAATGGCAGTATTTCTTATGGCTGAGTAGTATTCCATTGTGTACATGTACCACATCTTCTTTATCCAGTCCTCTACTGTAGGTCACTCTGGTTGTCTCTATTGCTCATTTAAAACTGCTAATCTAGTATAATTTTCCCTGACATAAGTGACATTTTTTTCATCTAGCAACAAAGTATCTCCAAACTTCTTATAGTTTATGAAACTTGGGGCTGAAGTATCTCAAATGTGAACATCTTTGACACTAGGTAAGTGTAGGTTTTCTCATTAAACTGAAACCAGTTATTTGAATTTTTATAAGAGCTATAACTACTTGTAAGTGCTTAGGAGAAAAACATTTGCAAATAATTTAATTTTATGAGGACATACTATTCATTTTTTAAATTTCTTTTTACACTATAGTTTGAATTTAATGTATTTTATATTCTTTTGTAGTAAAGCATAACTCAGATTTCTATAGGCCTTAAAACCACAGACAGTGGTTCTACTTGGAATTGTGACTTCTGTAACAGATGTCAATAAAGTTGGACCAACTTATCCTCGTCTGTGCCCATTTCCTCAACTATAAAGAGACATTGGAACCTTCTTACTCTGGAATATTTATGAATGTATTTTGGGGGAAACCTATGAATAATGTGCAGAATTTGCATGTCCATTTTAATTTGACAGTTATCTTATATAGTAGTCACTAGCCACATGTAGCTAATTAAATTAAAACAATCAGTTCCTCATTCAGACTAGCCACATTTCAAATGCTCAATAGCCACATGTGGCTAGTGGATGCAAATACAGAACATTCCATCACTGCAGAAAATTCTCTTGGTAGGCTGCTTGGAGCCTACACTGGTCATGTTCATAAATGAGCGCTGTCATGACTGGAATGTCACTCGGAAAAATTACTACTCACCAAACAGTACATGTTAGTCAGTACAAGAGAACACACATTTATAAAGGCATTTAGTTTATTTTTCAAAAAAATATTTTTGCTAGAAGGTTTGGGTCATTTTACATGATCACCACCTTTAAATAAATTCTTTTTCTGACCAAAAGGTACCACTTAAATGAACAGCTTGTCTAGGTCTGCTTTTGTAACACCCAAATACAATTAGCACTTCTCTGATGGTATTCCCTAGGTCTTCTTAATTATTGTCTACTGGCCAGGAGGCAGAGCCCAGCACATAAAGTATGTGCTTTATAACTGCAAATTAATTTGGTCATCAGTAAGCAGAGCAGGTAGTCAATATATCTAATTCACACTTGTTTCTTGCCTGATGGGTCTGATCCACCCAGAGCTCCCAGTTATCTCTTTTAACCCAGTGAACCACAATTGCAGTGAACCACAATTTCAGAGAAAAAGGGCAGCTCAACTTAGACTAGTGCTGGCTGTGTCCCAGTTAGGTCTGTTACTGTTTTGTTCCAACTATGAATTCAAGATGACCAGTGTTACTTGTATTTAATGATAAATAGAAAATACAATGCAAAGCCAAAAAAGGGATTTGGGGACTACTGGGAGCAAGTGCTTTTTTTCCCTTAGGAGGTTCCCTTCCTTAAGAGAAGGTTGGTTCTCTATAATTCTTGAGAGATCTTAATTAAAAGTTGAATTAAATCTACATTCATTGCTATAAATTTAACAAAAGGAAAAAAAATCACTGGAAAGAAGCAACTACAGACTGATAAGTTTGCTGATGAAGAGAAATGGGCAGCTTATTGAAGGCACATCATAAGTAGCTTTTAGTCTGTACAAGGCCTACACTCAACCCCAAAAGCATAAGGTCTACCCACCTTGTGGGCAACAATTCAGTGCCAAGCTAGTGACAGTAAAACAATGCCTGTCTCTTCCACCAACAGCCCAAACTATATTTCAAAAATGTCTTTGTTGCAAGGAAGCAATTATTGCAAACATCAGGACAAAGGCCATTCTAATGTAGGACTTGGGCTAAATAGAGGTTTATAACTAATCACAAGAGGGGGGAAAGTGACTATGTGTGCTAAAACCAAGTTTCATGAATGCAGAGAAACATTTTAACCAGACTTAAAATGCTGAGCAATGCACCTCAAGGGTCCTATAAAGCTGAAAATGAATGAGGAACTGGACAAGGACAGTTCACTATAGGTTCTCTACGAACATCCCTGTAAGCCTCAATGCTGAGATGACAACAGTTTCTCAGACTGGAGGAAATGGCAGCTCAGGCTTTGGGCATTAAGATTCTTGCCAGAACACAGTTCTGACACTTCTACATGCCTAATTCTATCAGTAAGGAAGAGAGATAAGTATAAGACATTTTGAATCAATAGCCTACTTACTGGCTACTCTGTGTAGCTACAAAAAAAAAAAAGGCAAATGTATCACATACAGATTTGAAAAATCTCATTTTGCATACTTATGTATGAAAACTGAAAACCTTAAGACAACATCCTCCCCATTTTAAATTGTCACCTTTCCTAATGCAGACACAACCCTATCTATAGCAGCATAAAGTGCCTCTAATCTCAGTCTTTTTAACGATTTGAAGCACAGTAAGAAATACTGACCTGGTTTTATACTAAGGAGTTTGAGTCTGGGGGACTTAGGAAAGTGCTGGGGCTGTTTACAATGTAAACACTGGTGTTGGTGCTTGGAATGTCTGGGGAGGGAACCCTGCATGTAAACATGTCTGACTCCACCCTCAACTGCTGCAGTCAGCCTTACCTTATGGCCAAGTTAAACTGCACATTTTAGCTTTTTATTTTCAACACCTAACTAGGCATAGATCCCAAGTATCTTCTGCCATTTTCTTGGTACTTTTCTGTACAAATTTCTGAGTTTCTTACATACATATCTGTTGCTTTTCCTGCCCAGTTCAGAACAGATAATTGGGTAGTTTAACATGCATCTTTTATTTCCTTTCAAATACCACAAAAGGCTAGATTGAAGATGCAAGATCCACTGTATTGACCCTAATGCAGCTAAGTGTAAGGACAGGGCCACTTCTGCCTTTCTCCAGAAGGTGAGGTTCATAGAAGTGAAAAAAGGACTCATATTAGAGTCTCAGGGTTGGTCGAGCAGAGGCCAAATGAGCCCTGCATGTTGCTGAGATCTCTAAAGGGCTAAAGGGGAAAAAACTATTAACAGTTGCTGTACTCCTGAGGAATCAAGTCTTCTCTATTACCTTTCCTCTTCCCCCCACCCACCTGCAAAAGACCTGAAGCCAGTCTTCGTTTTGAATGTTTATATTCTAAATACCCTTAAAATAGGTATTTGGCAAACCTTAATTTCTTATGGGAGATAATACAAGGGAAGTGCCAACTTGTAAATTACAAATGAATTCTTATTTGTTTGACCCCTTGTTTGATACTAAGTTTTTTAATGGGTCAGAAACAAAAATCCAGGGATAGGCATTTATTATAATTCTCACATGTGCCTCCATAAAGAGAATACACCAGTTAGTTTTTGGCCACTTCTCACCCATCAAAAGGAATGCAACTCAAATTCCAAGACTCACCTAGAGTTGGGAAGTCAGTGAAAGGTACTGCTGATAAAAGAAAGAAAGACAGGACTGACTTTGTCAAAACAACTAGCTACCTTTTATGCCCAGGGAACACCTAATACTCTCAGAGTTATGTTGTATCAAAAACATCCCACATTTTTAGGTTTTGGGATTAAATTTTAAACCTGTACTCAGTTCATATCTGTTTCAAAAGCTGCACCAAGTCTACTAGGCTTTTTTTTTTTTAATACTCTGCACTGCATGCTCTGTGTATATGCATGCGTTTGGATAATAAATATTAAATATAGGGTGTGGGAGGGGGAAACAGGTGGAATCCATAAAGTTAAAACTGAAACCAAACTGAACATTAAAAAATAGTACATGGTAGCTAGAGAAATGAATAAGGGCTAAAAATAAACTTGAGGTAACAATAGTGGTCCAATACCACTGATCTGAAATATCTGTAAAAATTCAAATAAGTGTTTGGAGATTCAAGTAACAAACCATCTGCTCCAACTTGGTCAGACTTCCCAGCCTTGCTGAGTTTAGTCCATGAGCCGGCACTCACACAGCTCCTTGTAAATCCTCTTCCGGACTCGGGGCATGTCCTCTTGGGAAAACTGGAAAGACTGATTTAAGGCGAGGCACTTGCAGTACTGCAAAGGACCCAGAAACATTTAAATGGCATGAGGAGTTATGTGCTAGCCCAATGTATTTTACCAGATGCAGACCTAATAAAATAGGGCCTAAGGCAGCATTTTAAAACTTGTTTAAACTTGTTATAAAACATTGTTTCAAAACATTTACCTCTAAATTACAGTCAACCTTCCATGCAAGTATATGGCCTGGGATCTCCCCACTTAATACTGTGAAAAGCGGAAACTGATGAAGAGGCTCCAATTCTTCTCAAGGTGCAACTAGACCTAACGGCCTTTAAATGAGAACTTGTACTTGTTCACAAACTCCAGACATTCAGGAGTTAATATGAATGAGTCCATCTTCCAAGATCTTTGCAATTTTTTAAATTCATGGACCATATACTATAACTTCCTTCACATATATAATGTATAACAAAATTTTCAATAGCCTTTTGACCACTAAGGGAATCTACAGTATAAGAAAACACAGCTTTTGAATGTGGCCATTATTTAAAATCTAAATAGTTTTTACTCTATGGCTAAAGGCCATTTCCAATGGTTAAAAATATACAGTTAATTCTGCAAATGCCAAGGGCTTATGATATGGACAAATTCAGATCAGTGTCCAGTGTGGCTTACTAATAACCTCTGATAAGACATGGATGACACCAATTATTCATTCCTGACCTTCAAAGATGGTTCTTCCTAATGATAACATCTAAAAATACAGAAATTACTGCTTTTCAACAAGAAAGGAAGAGGAAGGAAAAGTACCCTGTTAACTGTAGCTGGTATCATGTACATATCATGGGTACTCCCATCTCTCCTCTCTAAACCCAACAAATTGAATTCACACATTATAAATTCTGAAAAAACAATATTTGTTTACCTGGAGCACAAAGACTCCACAGTCACTGTCATTTTTCTGTTGTGGAATACACTGAGGGGGAAAAACAAAATGATCATTAAAATAAGACTAAGTAGTACTCTTGAGATGAAAAAATGAGCAAACGACAGGAACTGTGTCTATCTAGGACATCTGGTAGTGTACCAGTGGTATTTCAAGTGTTTGATTTTAGCCCTGCCTGGTGTGGCTGGTTGAGCATCGTCCCATGCACAGAAAGGTCACCGGTTCCATTCCTGGTCAGGGCACATGCCCACGTTGCAGGTTCAATCCCTGGTCAGGGTGCATAATGGGAGGCAACCAATTGACCAGTCTCTCTCACAATGATGTTTCTCTCCCCCTCTCTCTCTAAAATCAATAAAAACATATTTTAAAACAAAGTGTCTGATTTTATGAAGGCATCTGGCCACATGAAAACAGCTGTCAATCAACTGCAATTTATAGAACATTTTGCCTAGATAAATGGGAAATCAAAAACATATTTTAAAACTTCCATTTGGATAATTAGTTTTTCTGTGAAGACACCGACACTAGAACTGTGGATCAGAGAAGATGTGCCTGGTCTCTGAATACTTAGACACGATCCTGCTTAGCAGTCTTCACTTTTCATCTCATATTACACAACTCAACCCTATTCTTTGAAAGAAATTTTAAAGGTAAATGGTATGTTTTCAAAAGAACTGGTTACTATATCCTGCCTAACATGGGAATATGAAAGATCCTGACTAAATTTAGGAGAATACCTAGATATTCTGGTTGGGTAAATTCAGAAAATTTACAAATTCAATTCTAGTTTGAACTAATATACTAAGTTATTTAAAGCATAAAACTTAAGCTTAAATTTAAAATTTAGCACTTTGTTCATTCAAGGATGAACAAATTAATCTTATCTCTTTGGTTTTGGGTTAAAGGTTTGTTTCAAGACCCTGCCTTATTAACATTGAGTCAGTGATCCAGATAGACCTGAGTTCAAGAACCTGACCCTACCAGTAGCTGTGGTGGCCTTTGGGGAAGGTCCCACCTAGGCTTCAGTTTTCTCATCTAAAGAATAAAGATGATGCTTATCCCTAAATGACCTACTTACCTCACAGGCTGTAAGGATCAAATGAGATCACACAAGCATAAACATTTTGAAAACATGAAATCAGTGACTATAAAATGTAAGAAACTGGTATTTGTAACAGGATTGAGAGGCTCTGCCTAGGCACAGTGCTGCACAAACAGCTTTAACTGTGTATAGGCCAAACATAGTGCTCCTTCCAGATTGTGCTTCGACTGAAGCACTCAGCCCACTGTCTTCTCCAAATGCCTGGAAAGTAGCTCAGTGCACTTGCACCCTCAGAAGATCCAAATAGTCATTTCAATATTTTCTCCGGGTCAATACGAGTCTCCTGGAAATACGAGCTATGAGGTAAGACACAGGTACCACCCCCCAAAAAATTTTTATGACCATATCATTACAAAAATTTTATAACCATATCATTCGCAGCTGCCCCCAATAATGAAATGACTAAACTTATTTGTTCCCAGCAAGCACTGGGAAACAGCAGCCAGATGACGAACACTAATATGAGCTGCCTCCTCGAAGCTTCCAGGCTCTTCATTGGCATCTTCATCAGTAGTCTAAAAATGTTTTTAAAGACACCCACCCCTTTGATAATTCCATCCCCTTGATATGCCTGGGTTTTCATTTTTATCACATACTTACCTTTGTAACAGGAGTCTGCCAACCCTGAAGAAATTCAGGTCTATTTTTTTCTCTGGCTTCAGTCAGCAAATACTTTCTTATATTCTGGTTAAAAAGAAGCCGAAACACAAATGCTATGTTTCATCAGTTGATGAAAAATGGAACCTACCCACAGCAGAAGAATGGAACCTCTTCCGCAGAAGAGGAAGCTGTGGCCCCACCATTGTTTAGGCAGAGTATGCATGAATAAGTTTAAAGGTGGAACTTTATTTCAGACCTTTTACTTCATAATGTTAAGGATGACTTCGCCGACCCTCTGTACTCAGGTATGCACTTAGACTGTGGACACTGATATGTGTTGAACTTTTAATGAGATGGTCAGCCTTTTTCAGCAGTAAGTCAACCAGCTGAATTTGAGACTTAAAAATTACTGCCAGTGCTCAGCAAAGGGAAGGAACTCATGGCAGAAATCCTTAATAACTGAAACAAAATTAAAAACATTTCTGTTCTCACATTTTTGAGAACTGCAGGTAAAGTTATCATTCAATTTGTAGAGTTATAATTAAACAGAGTCAGATCCACTGCTGAAATTTCTACCAAGATGAAGCCTAATGGAGTTTGAAATTATCCCTTATGCCCTCAACCTTTTCGTGCTTTTCTCTCTCTGCATCTCTCTTCTAAGGGTGAAGTGGGCCTTGACCGGTGTGGCTCAGTTGGTTGGACATCATCTCATGCACCCAAAGGTTGCTGGTTTGATTCCTGGTCAGGGCACATGCCTGGGTTGGGGCTCAATTCCCTGTGGGGGCTGTGCATGAGGCAGCCAATAGATATTCAGCTCTCACATCTCACATTGATGTTTCCCTTTCTCTTTCCCTCTCTCTCCCTCTCTAAAAATCAATAAAAATATTTAAAAATAAAATAGCCCTAGCTGGTTTGGCTAAGTGGTTAGAGCGTCAGCCTGCAGACTGAAGGATCCTGGGTTTGATTCCAGCCAAGGACACATACTTTGGTTGCAAGCTCAATCCCCAGCCCTGATCAGGTGTGTGAAGGAGGCAACCAATCAATGTGTCTCTCTCAAATCGATGTTTCTGTCTCTCTCTTTCTCTCTCTCTCCCCCTTCCATTCTCTCTGAAAAGCAATGGAAAAAGTATCCTCAGGTGAGGATTAATAAAAAATAAAAAATAATTTCTCCTCCTTTAGGGCAAAGTAAAAAGGGTGAAGAGGTTACATGAATTAAATTAACCCCCTTGAAGGTAGAGTAAATGTATATATATGTGTGTATACATAAGTGTGTATATACACACATATATATACACATACAAGTATGCATATATGTATTTTATTTCCATAAACATGTTATACTGTATCATTCCTGCAACTTGCTTTTTATTTTATTTTTTATTTTTATTTTTTAAATGAAAGTATTTTTATTTTTTTAAATATATCTTTATTGATTTCAGAGAGAGGAAAGGAGAGGGGGAGAGAGAGAGAGATAGAAACATCAATGATGAGAGAGTCATTGATCAAGCCCATAACCGGGGCATGTGCCCTGACCAGGAATCGAACCCTGATCGCCTGGATCCTAGGTTGATGCCCATCGCTGAGCCACGCCCGGCCGGGCACAACTTGTTTTTTAAAATTTAGTATGTCTTAGAGATCTTTCATGTTAGAACATGGAGATCTACTATATTCTTTTTAACTGCTACGGTCAGTTTAACAGTATGACTATACTATAGTGTACATATTTAGCTAATCTGTTGGCAGAGCTAAATTTAGGTTGTTTTGATTTTTCACTATTATCAATAATGCTGCAATTAACATCCTGGTATACACCCCATCCTTGTGTGCAAATACTTATTTTTATGGAGTAGATACCAAGAAACAGAATTGGTATGCAATACTTTATAAGGTACTTAGAACTGATTAGAATTGCTATTGTTCAAGTATACATTCCACCAGAAAATATGAGAACATCTGTTTCCTTATACCCACATAAACAACTGAATACCATTAAATATTCCTTAATATAATATTATATAAATATATAATATAAAAATATATAGCATAAAAAATGGAACCATATTTGCATTTCCCATATTTCTGGTGAGGCTGAGCATCTTGCCACGTGTTTAATGGCTACATGCATTTTTCCTAAAAATTATCTTTTGTCCATTTCTATGATCCTTTTTTTTTCTTGTAGCAGTTTTATATGTTTTCAGGACAGTAACTATCTATTATATAGGTCACAAACATTTTCTTCAAGTCTGTCCCTTGTGTTTTAACTTTATAGCATACAGAAGTTTTAAATTATGGTATGTTAAAATTTATCAATCTGTTCCTTTATGTCTTTTGCTTTTCTGGTTCTGTGTAAGAATGCCTTCCCTACTCTAAGAACATTAACATTTTCTATATTTTATTCTAACTTTTACAGTTCTGTGTTTTGTATTTAGGTCATTATTCTGTCTGAAATTTGTTTTTCTACATAGCATGACGTAAGGATCTGTATTTTACTTTTCTGAATAGACAGCTAATTTTCCCAGTGGCATTTACTGAATAGCCTGTCCTTTCCTAACTCTATCATATACTAAGTTCTCACATATACATGAGTTGTTTCTAGATTCTCTATGCTGTACCACCAATATACTTGTCAATTCCTAAATATAAACATAGTTTTAATTATTAAAACTTTATAATATAGCCCTGGCCACGTAGCTCAGTTGGTTAGAGTATTGTTGTAATATGCCAAGGTTGCAGTTTCAATCCCTGGTCAGGGCACATACAAGAGTCAACCAATGAATGCATAAATAAGTGGAACAACAAATCGATATTTCTTTCTCTCTCTCTCCCCCTCTAAAATCAATAAATTTGAAAACACACACCCACAAAACCTATGATGTAGTGTGACATCTAGTAAACCAAGTATTCCTTCCTTTACTGTTCTGCTTCGAAACTATTTTAGCTGTTCATGCACATGAATTCAGCAATATGAATTCCACGATGAGCTGATCAGGTTTATTTCAAAATCCTGATGGGAAACTAATTAGGACAGAAACTGGTATATATTAGTTTGGGGAGAACTGATCTCTTTCCAATATTGAGTGTGTCTATCTTTCCATCTAGTCAGATTTCCTTTAAATACTTTAGTTTTCTTCTCTAAAAACTTCCACATTTTTTGCTAGGGTATATTCCTGGGTAATTTATGTCTTTGTTGCCTTTGAAAATGGAATCTTTCTGTTTTCAATTACATTTTCTAACTGGTTCTTGCTAGTACAGAAAAATTAAGAAACCTACTGAATTCTTTTGCTTTATATCCCCCCATCTTGTTGAACTCTCATATTTTCCAGCTGATTCTCTTGGTTATAATTCATTCTACAGAAGTTATTTTGAAGATACGAGCAAATTTCAGCTCTAAGAGAAACCAAGGAAAATGATTTCTATCCACGTTCAAATGAAAGTGTTAAGGGAAAGGTATAATAAAATGTGATGAAATCCAAATAAGGAATGTATCTCAGAGAGGAATCCAGATTATAGATAGCCACCTGTCCCCACCTGGAGATTCCTCTGGTAGTCCTTTTCTCTGCCAACAGTTCAGAGGGGTTTTATGACAGAAATTGAATCTCAATGGTACTGTATCTAGAGCTAAGATATTATTTAATCAATCCCAAGATAAATGAAAAAATAGACATTATATTACCTTACCTCTACACAAAACTTAAAATGAATGCCTTGAGAATCATAAAATGAAATAATTCGGTCAGAGAGTGTCACAGTAATGAGAGACCAGTGAACTTCCAGGTGAATAGGAATCAACAGGAGACTCTTTTTAAATAAATCCACCTAATCAAGAAAAGAAAAAGAAATGCAGCCATCACCACAGGCTATCCAAATCAAGAATAAACAGCTGCTTCCGTTTCCTGACCTCTGACCTACCCAAAGTCATAAAACTAGGAAGTGGGGAAGCCAGAATTAGAACCCAGGTCTTAGTCTAAAGCCCATGTTGTAACTACTAAGCTATAATACACAGTAAGAAAACTGATGAGCCTTAGCCAGTTTGGCTCAGTGGTTAGAGCAATGGCCTGTGGACTAAAGGGTCCTGGGTTCGATTTTGGCCAAGAGCACGTATCTAGGTTGAAGGGTCAGCCCCCACTGGAGCCATGTGGGAGGCAACCAGTCAAAAAAAAAAAAAAAAGAAACTGATGATATAGAAAGTACCATTTTCCATTTAACCTGCTAAACCTGTGCTTATCAACTGCCAAACATGACTTGGCCCCTTATTTTCTTGTGTACATATTTGACCTCGACTCAATTCTTATTTAGGAAGGAATCCTGGCATGAGAAAACAGGGCTATAAGGCTTCTATCTTTCTACAGATTCAGTATAGTAGTTAAGATTGTGGGCTCTGAAATAAGTTTGGTGGAATTCAAATTCTGGTTCTTCCACTTATAGGCCATATGACTTTGGCAATTTTCATAGCTTCTTTGTACTTTAATTTCCTCAATATAAAATACAGGTAACAATAGTACCTACCTTATGAAGTCCTTAAGAGTGACAATAAATGTAAAATGCCAAGAACTGTGCTTAACACATTATATGTAGCCAATAAATCTTAGCTTTTATTACTATTACTATTTCGGGTCTCCCAGATGTCAAAATTGAGAAAAATATCCCTGATAATACTTTACATATCCTTTGCATACTAATTTACCCTTTATATCCTGTTATATCCTTTGCAATCTAGAAATATTTGCTATTCCACTCAAAATCCTAGTTGTGGATGATAAAGTAGTAGGTGTTTAATAAACATTTATAAAAGAGTTAATTTCTTTTTTTCAGGTAAAGATTATTTTAGTGATTCCTTGGGTTAAAACAAATAAAAGGCTATTTTAAACTACATTAGATTCTTTTTTATTTTTTAATTTATTGGGGTGACACTGGTTAACGAAATTATATACAGGTTTCAGGTGCACAATGCCACAACATGTCATCTGTACACTGTATTGTGTTCACCACCCCAAGTCAAGTCTCCTTCTATTACCATTTATGCCCCCATGTCCTCTTCCACCTCCCCCCACAACCACATCAGATTCTTAGAAATGTTCTCAAGCCTTCTGTGCTTTCTGGTATTCAGATAATGTCCTGCTCTAGATGAATGTTCTGTTAGTCTACATGACCGTAGAGCAAAGCACTTTAGCACTTCTGCTTCCCAGTTTCTGCATCCATAAACCTGGGAGGTGGATGGAAGGAAATATTAAAAGGATTGAGAATTGGTTCTTTCCAGCTCAAAAATTCTGAGTATCTAAAACAAGGAATCATATTTAAAATTCAGTATTAAATGACGCCAAATTTATATTCTTCCCAAAAAGAAACTTTTTTAGGAGGATCCTACAGCAATGCTGTGAGCTGCCTGCGGAGAGGGTTAGCCTCTAGAAGCTGAGGGCTTCAGTCCTACCGCCACAAGGAACTGAATTCTGCCAACCTGAATGAGCTTGGAAGATGAGAATGAATCCTTGCTACTAAGACCCTGAGCAGAGGACCCAGTGAAGCCACGTCTGGATTCCTGAGCATGGGAACTGTGAGATAATAATGGAAACATCTCAGCATATGAATCTATGAAACAGGTAAATGAGAGTGGCCCTGCAGTGTTCTCCAGTTGGCTTTTTGGTTGCAGAGTGGGAAATGTATTCCATCCTAGCCAGGAGGTCTGGAGAGTGCTATGGAATGTTGTCTGAGGTTCCCAAAGCATCCCCAAATACCCTGAATTGAGTAACTATAACAAATAGAAAAGGAAGGGCAAGACATTAAGACCCTCCAGAAATTCTGTGAGCCAACCTGATTCTCCCAAACACTGAATCATACAACTTAAGCAGCTCCAAAAACTGGACCACCAAAGTTCCTGATATCCATAACACTGTGGCTGGAGAGAACCTAAACAGAACCTCTTTATAAGCTTTTAATGATTAAAAAATAAGATTTACAGAAACAGTATGGAGGTCCTTCACAATATCAAGAACAGAACTACCATACAAGTCAGCTATTCCACTTCTGGGTATACACCCCCATGTTAATTGCAACATTATTTACAATAGCCAAGATATGGAAGCAACCTAGGTGTCCATCAATGGATGAAATGATAAAGAAGATGTGGTGTATATATAGAATGGAGTATTATTCAGCCACAGGAAAGAATAAAATCTTGCCCTTTGCAATAACCTGAATGGACATAGAGGGTATTATGATAAATGAACTAAGTCAGATGGAAAAAGACAGATACCACATGATTTCAGTTCTACATGGAATATAAAAGAAAACCCCAAACAAATCCAATCTCATAGAGACAGAACAGATTGATGATTACCAGATGGGAAGAGGGTTGGGGAATGGGCAACATGAGTGAAGAGGTCAACTGTGTGGTGGTGGACAGTAACTACACTTTTGGCAGTGATGACTTTGTAGTGTATACAGATGTCAAGTTATATTGTACACCTGAAATTTATATAATGTCATATACCAATTTTAACTCAATAAAAAAAGAAAGCTTTTTCTTAATTATAAAAACAATTTTTAAAATAAAAATTAGCCCTGGTGAGTGTGACTCAGTTGGTTGGAACATCACAGGTCCCATTCCTGGTCAGGGCACATACCCAGGTTGCGGGTTCGATCCCGTCAGGGTACATGTGGGAGGCAACCAATGTTTCTCTCTCATATCGATGTTTCTCACTCTCCCTCTCTTCTATCTTTCTAAAATCAATTAAAAATAAAATAAAAATTAGAAAATACAGATAAAAAGATACACTTCAGTGTATAGCTTTCCAGATCTTTTTCTTCTTCTTGTTAATCAATGGAAAATATCCTCGGGTGAGGATTAAAGAAAAAGGTTTAAAAGAAACTTTCACATTAAAGAGTCTATTTCATATTGGTTATAAAGTTCTTATCCTTCCACTCAAAGTGGCTTATCATCTGCATTTCAAATTTAGAATAACGAGAATACCTTTTTAGTCCATCTTTTTACTCCATTATATCCTTTGGTTACCAGCTGCCTATGAAAAAAGCTGTTGAAGAAGTGAACCTAGAAAAGACATCAAATACAAGCACCCAGATTATATTAGGCTATGCCCAAATTCAACTAAAAAAAAAAAAAACACAGAAATTTTAAAATCCTTTACTATAAGATAGACAAAAAGGTGAAAGGAAGTTTCATCTTTAAAGTAAGTTTTCACTTACCTTGTCTGGGACTGCATCCATTATCAGCTCACCGTACATATTAATAACCTATAAAAAGCCAATATAAAACCAGCTTACTAACCCTACACAATTAAAAACATCCCACTCAGAATGAATAACATACTGATACTACTAATAGTAGTCAAACCTTTTGGATAGTGGGGTTAGTGAATGAGTCACTTCAGTAAGGAATAGAGTCCTTGATTCCAAAAGGTAATTGTGAGGCCAACCCAGAAGTTATTAATTATATTTTATTGTCCAACATCCTCTGCAACTTTTCCATGATGAGAACCTACAATACACTAACCTGGTCATTCAGCCAATTCTGACCATCCAGCGTTGCCAGATCATCCATATCCAGCATGTGCTTATTGTAGAAGACACGGAAGTTGCATTTCTGATGTCTGGCCCGATAGTTTGTTATTTCCCTATTGATAAAGGGTTTTCTGAAACAGAAAAAATTTGAAATAGAAAATTAAAAACATGAGTTCTACTTAATTTATTGCTAAGTATCTTTTTTTAATCAAGAAGAGTCATATATGCCAAGAATTTTATTTTCAAGGGCTTAACTTAAGTATCATTGACAAACCTATTAGAAAAATCTTCATTAAAGACATCTTTTAATCTTCCAAGGACATCTTTTTCACTGAGTGGGACCAAACTGCCATACTTCTTCATAACCTCATCTAGGAATCCTTAAATAAAGGGAAAAAGAAAAATTAAGATGAAAAACCATTTTTAGCAGTCATTCTCCCAATACTTAACCTATACATAATACTTAACACACATTTAACCTATATTACTACATATGTTACACTATTAAAAATATTTTAAAAGTTATGTTTTGTAAAAAATAAAATAAAATCAATAAGGCCCTCACCATTCCAATATAGGAAAATGCTCTAAGACATTATTTCACATTGGATCTCTAAGCTACTAATGCATTGCTAGAGAGGGAATGGCTAGCTAAAACTAAAGATTGACATCGTTCAGTAGCTTAACCTTGTAGTAGAATCCTATCTCCTAAAGAGTGAAATCTAAAGGGCTTAATTACCTGATTAAATGTGTCTATCAAATTTGGTAACTGAAGGAATTATCTTTTTAAAAATCACAATTAGAGGGAATTAATTGTTGAGATCGCTGTCAAAGTATCATTTGGTAAAAGTGTGTAATTTCTCATCTCATAGCAAGGGACAAAATCTAAGGCAATTTTAATATACAATTTGATAGTGTCATTATACTCTGAATAAAACTATGAATTAAGCTTAACTAGATAACAGCTGATGAATCATGCTTTAAGAAGGGAAACAAAATTAAGGATGACTTCTTGACCAGAATATAGAATAGTCTTCAGATCAATTAGGTAACATATGGATTTTAATGGCTTCCACAATGATCCACTGAATACACCTAAAAAGGCCATAGGAAATAAAACCAAGACATTATTCTAAATAAATACAAAGAAGCTGAGGAAAGACTGAGAGGCTCACAAAAGTGCAGACATGACTTGTGCTATTCACTGATGCTGAATGGGGAGCGTAACAGCCTGCTAACCATCAATCTGACAGTTAAGTCTTCTAGGTTAACATGGGGAAAATGAGGACAATAGCCAATTATTTTACCCAGCTCTCTTTCTAACTTCAAGACAAGAGCAAAGGTCAAGGTACAGTAAATAGCAAAGAGTTGTTTGCTTATGCCTTGTTCTGATCTAGACTTTAGGCATACAGAAGAGAACAAAAGGGGTCCCATGTCCCGGATTAATCAGAGTAGGAGAGATTTGGGGCTTCTAAACTAGGAATAGAGCATATATTTGCCTACAGTCTTTACTATATCATATCTTATAGTTATCTAAGCATACCCTTGTATATAATGGGAGAATGGGCCCAAAAAGAAGATAAGGAATCCCAACATCTGAGAAACTGCATTTAAGGAACAAATTTTATATAAAACTTTTAATTCCCCTAATAACAAAAGATTAAACGTTAGGCCCAACAACCTTGCGACTTCTCAAATAAGAAAGCAGGCTCATCTATAATGGGGATATGAACTCCAATTCCAAATAAGTATCATAGCAATGAGCTGTCCTTGTTAACAATGTTATTTCTGATGGTAGTATTTTGGAGGGTTTTAAGTTGTTATATTTTCCCCCTCTTATCTGTATTTCTTTTTCACTTTCAGATGATAAATATGGATTCCTAATGCATAAAAAGGCCCCACCTGAATTTTCGAGGAGAACCCTATATGACAGTGTCTCACTGATGCACACCATTAACTCACTGGGACCATAAGGCAAGCACTAGCATATCTCACTTCATCCTTGTAAACACCCTGTTAGATAGCATCCCTACTTTACAAATGGAGACAGGAAACTTTGGGAGGTTAAGTAACTTTCTCAAGGACCCTTAACTAGCATACGTCAGAACTAAGACTCTGATTGCAGGTCACCCGACCACAGAAACTGAGCAGTTAGCTCTTATGCTATGCTACCTTCAAAGCATGAAATACTACCACCTTTTCTCTACAACTTGGTTGTTCATTTCACCTTTCCCTTTTAACACTTGTGGAACAAGAATTACCCAGAAAACAGGCTGAAAATGAGAGTTAGCTCTGGCCGGTTTGGCTAAGTGATTACAGTGTGATTACACTGTCAGTCCATGGACTGAATGGTCCCGGGTTCAATTCCGGCCAAGGGCACATAACTCAGCTGCAGGCTCTTCGGGGCCCTGGTTGGGACGCGTGCGGGACACAATCAATCAGTGTGTCTCTCCCTCACGGATGTTTCTCTCTCTTTCTCTTTCTCTCCCTTCCACTCTCTCTGGAAAGCAATGGAAAAAATATCCTTGGGTAAGGATTTATTTTTTAAAAAAGAGAGAGTTAAGTCCATTATTCTTTTTGTTTAAGGACATTTTTAAAAATGATTTTTTATTGATTTTTGGAGAGGAAGGGAGAGAAACAATATGAGAGTGAAACATCAATCAGCTGCCTCCTGCATGGCCCCTACCCGGGATTGAGCCCAAACCCGGGCACATGCCCTGACTGGGAATGGGACTAGCAACCTTTTGGGTACAAGCGGATGCTCCAACCAACTGAGCTACATTGGCCAGGGCCCATTATTCTTTACCCACTTGCTATCACCAAATTAATGGACCAAAAAAGAAAGTGCATTTGGAATACAATTCCTTTTACTTCAAAAGTACTTAAATTTCCATGTGACCAAGAAACAGGATAAAATGTTAGGAAAAAACAAGATAATAGCCTTGGCTCAGTGGTTAGAGTGTTGGCCCGTGCACCAGAGGGTCGTGAGTTTGGTTCCCAGTCAAGGGCACATACCTCGGTTGCAAGTTCGGTCCCTGGCCCTGGGTGGGCACCCAACTGATGTCTCTCTCTTGAGTCAATGTTTCTCTCTCTCTCTCTCTCTCTCTCTCTCTCTCTCCCCCCCTTCCCCACCCTCCTCTTCCCTCCCGCCCTTCCACTCTCTCGAAAAATCAATGGAAAAATATCCTCGGGTGAGGATTAACAAAAAATAAAAATAACAAAAAACTACAGTTCAAATTATAGTCCACCCTGAGAGTACAAAAGGTAACAATATAAAAAATAAAACCTAAGGCGTTATTTTAGAAGTTAAATTACTTATCATGGTGGACAGTTTTTTCTTGAAACAACATCCCATCCTAAAAGTGGAATAAGGTTCATTGTGTTGTGCACATAAGAAATGCAACCACTTGGTTCCCCAACAAAATACAATACACACGCCAGAAATCAAAAATAAGGAAGGCACTGATGTATTGTAGAACTGTATGCCTAAAACCTATATAATTTTATTAACCAATGTCACCCCATTAAATTCAATAAAATAAATAAATAAGAATGGCATGAAATATAAGGATAAACAAGGATTGTGCAAAATCTAAGTCAAAAGCATTATAAAATTCTATTAAGGGACACACAGAACTGGCAACATGGAATGGAATAATTCTTTGTTTTTAGACAGGAAAATACAAATATTGTAATGAACACAATTTTCCCTAAATTAATCTATAAATGTAATACAATACCAATGAAAAGTCATGGTTTGCTTTTTAATTGAAAAAGCAAATCCAAAATTCATCTTGGGACAAAAATGTAAGAAATTCCTAGAATTTTTTGAAAAGGATTAAAAGGGAGCATCGAATAAGGGGCAAGAGAAAAAAAAGAGGCCTAGTTCCATCAAATTATAAAACTACAGTAATTAAAGCATAATAGTGCTAGCATAGGAAACAGACCCAATGGCAGGGCACCTCTCATGACCCTGGGGAAAAGATGACTCAATCAATAAATGGTATTAGAACTAGTGACTAAATCTTTTATTCACAGTCGGAATTCATCTGGGTGTAAAGAATGAGGTAGGGATCCATCTTTACTTTTTTCCAAATGGCTAACTGTAAAAATAACACATTAATAGTCTAGAAGAAAATAGGATTGAACATTTTTATACAACTGAAACAGGAAGCAGCTTTAATTTTAAGGGTTTTTTCTTAATATATGACCATAAACATTTAAAAATAAAGTGGAAGTTACTCTTTAATTCCTTTAGAACTTTTATGCCCTTATGAATAGGTATTTCTTTTTTTCTTTTTAAAAAAATATATCTTTATTGATTTCAGAGAGGAAGGGAGAGGGAGAGAAAGAGACAGAAACATCAATGATGAGAGAGTCGTCATTGATCGGCTGCCTCCTGCACACCCTTGACTGGGGATTGAGGCCACAACCTGGGCATGTGCCCTGACCAGGAATCGAACCCCGATCGCCTGGATCCTAGGTTGACACTCAACCGCTGAGCCACGCCCGGCTAGCCTGAACATGTATTTCTTAAACATGTAAGTAGCACACTATATTTACTCTTCTTGAAGCTGCTTTTTCCCCCATTCAATACATCATCCTATTTTTTTTACCTAAGTCAATTCAAAACAACTTAGTAGCCCATTAAACAATTCCCTACTATGACCATTTAAGTTGTTAACTTTTAGCTCTCTAAATAATGTCCCATATACAACCTTTGACATATCTTTGTTCTACTGTTTCCCCAGAACACGCTAAAAGTCAAATTTCTGGGTCAAAGGACATGCATATCTAAAACTTCTAATTTTCACTTATGAGTTTTGTTATATACATATAATGTTTATGAAGTCAAACTGGTATATTTTACTGCTTGAGTTTCCTATCATGCTTGATTATTAAAATGGTCTCTTATATTTGTTTAACAGCTTTATTGAACTATATGATTCACATACCACAAAACTTAACCTCATTTAGTGATTTCGAATATTCAGAGTTGTGCAACTATTACCACTACCTAATTCCAGAACATTTGCTTTACCCTACAAAGAAATTTTGCATTTGTTAGAGGTCACTCCTCATTCCTCTCTCCCCTCCAGCCCCTGGCAACCATTAATCTACTTTATATCTCAACATATTTGCCTAGTCTGGACATGTCAAATCAATAGAATCCTACAGTATGTGGCCTTTTTGTGTCTGGCATCTTTCACTTGGCATATTTTCAAGGTTCATCCACACTGAAACACCTATCAGTATTCCATTTCTTTTTATGGCACAATAATCCATTGTATAGATATACCAAATCCTATTTATCCATTCATCAGTTCATAAACATTTCAGTTGTTTCCACTTTTTGGCTATTATGAATAATGATGCTATGAACATATGTGTACCAGTTTTTGTGTCTACTTGTTTCTAATTAGTTAAATTTTTAATTCATTTAGAATGCTGTGGCATAGGAATATATTTGTTTCCTTCCAAAACTAAGCTGAGTACAGAATCTTAGATTTTCATATCCTCCCTTAAGTCTTTTTTTTTTTTTAATGGTTGCAATGTTTTGCTTTTGAAAATACTGAGTACATCACAGCTATTTTATTTATTTTTTAAAATCTGTTTTTATTGACTTTTATTTTTTTTTAGAGAGAGGAAAGGAGAGGGAACATCAATGAGAAACATCAACATCAATTAGCTGCCTTTTGCATGCCCCCTACTGGAGATTGAGCTTGAAATCAGGGCATGTACTGTGACCAGGAATCTAACCAGTGACCTCTTGGTGCATGGGTTGACACTCAACCACTGAGCGACACCAGCCAGGCGTCCCTCAAGTCTTTTAAAATTATCTTATACAAGCAAAACTCAGTATTAATTTTTTTCAGCAAGTCACAACTGTCATTGCAAAGCATCCAACCTGGTTTTGAAGGGAGTAACTTTTTACACTCATATTTCATTAGTTTATGCAATATTTAACAAAATTATGAAACACAGTAAGTAAACTGAAATAAGTACAACTGGCTCTTGATAAATATATAAATCCACTGCAACAAGCGGTGTTACAAGTATTGGAGCAGGGGGGCTGGGAAATGTCCTCTCTCCCCATCAATCTCATTGTTAGAGTATCAATGCTGTATGCCAATTATATCTCAATAAAACGGGGGAAAAGAATTTCAGCTTGAGAGCAAATATCCTCCTTGCTGATACTGGCATAGGCAGGGAGAGATGCTTTTAAGATCCCCTACTCAGTCTTTTACCATGGGTCTCCCTTTCCTCTCCACCTCCAGAAATGGGACTCACTCAGTGTTGCATCATTTTCCTGCACTACTCTTCCTTCTGCCACGGGGGTTACCCTCTAGACCTTCCCTCTACTTTCTGCCTTTTGGGAGTTTCTCAGTTTCTGATTCACCAAAACTCTCCTCCTAGTTTTCAGTATGGAGATACACATGTGTTTTTAATATACTTTTCATGCATTACATTACAGGTCACTAATGTGAATAAATGTCAATTCTGTAAAAATTCCTACTTCCTCACGTCATGCTAGAGTTTTACTATTAGCCATATTCAATTTATCAATTGTTTTTTGGAAGTGCTACATCTATATGTATAAGTTAACTTGGTATTTGTGGGTAAATGTTAACTATTTCAGGTTTATGTATCATGGTTCTGTTAACCTCATAGTAGGGAAATTTGTCTTTCCCTCTTCTAGGACAGTATAAACAACAAAAATGGGTTTTTTAAAGATTTGCTAAAACTCTATACTTTGTGTTTTTTGGTGTGTTTGGGGTGGGGGGACTTTTTATACATACTTAATGGTTGGGCAAAGTGTTCAGAATTGTTTAAACCACCAAAAAGTAACTCTCCTAACTCCCCAGAAAAAGCCATCCATAACAATTTGATGTATCTGTCCAGATATGTCTTATACAAATATATGTGGAATATATACATATACTCCTCTTACATATGTGCATATGTATCATTTAATAAAATGGCATCATTCTGTTTTACAACTTGCTTTTTTCACTTTATATAAACAGCTTTCAGTATCAAATTTATTCCTTAACAGCTTCATAGTATACTATTGCTTAGAGGTGCCACAATTTATACTTCCATAGAAACAGCTGTTTTGGTTGTCTTAAGTAATGTCCCTGTACAAATATATTTGTACTCCTTTTTTTTAATACTCACTGAGGATATTTTTCCACTGCTTTTCAGAGAGAGTGGAAGGGAGAGAGACAGAGAGAGAAACATCGATGTAAAGAGACACATCAATTGGTTGCTTCCTGCACATGCCCTTACCAGGGCTGGAGCCTGCAACCAACTTAGGTACCCTTGGCTGGAATTGAACCCAGGACCCTTCAGTCCATGGGCGAAAGCTCTAACCACTGAGCCAAACTGGCCAGGGTTATTTGTACTCTTTTATATCTTAGATAAATTGCAAGAAGGAGAATGGGTCAAAAATTGAAAATACCATAATGTCTTTCAAAAATGTTTATGCCAACTTACTTCATGGGGTAGATTTTAACAATCAGACTTTAGCCCAGGCGGGCGTGGCTCAGCGGTTGAGCATCGACCTAGAATCCAGGCAATCGGGGTTCGATTCCTGGTCAGGGCACATGCCCGGGTTGTGGGCTCAATCAATGACTCTCATCATTGATGTTTCTATCTCTCTCTCCCTCTCCTTTCCTCTCTCTGAAATCAATAAAGATATATTTAAAAAAAACAAGTAGACTTTAAAAACATGACATAATAACTTGAAGCCATAAAGTAAAGACAGATAAATTTTACTATGAAAGAACGGAAAATTTCTGTTAAGCAAAAATATCATATACAAAGTCAAGGATTTTATCTCTTGGGAGAGGAAAACTTAAACACTTATAGTATTTATAATTAAAATTGAATTTAACATCTTTAAAATTAGAATGATGCTAAGGTCTATGAAGGCAGGAACCTTTATAGAATGTTTTGTGTTACATCCTGAGAACTATCACACTGCCTGGTACATAGGAGCTTCTTGTATATTAAATAAATAAAATATAAATAACCCAAAAGAAAAATAAGCAAGGGAAAATTATATACAAACAAAAAATGGCCAACAAATATAGAAAAAAAATGTTCAAACTTTAAACTCAAAAACGCAAATTATGATTTGGGGTGGTGAACACACAATACAATATACAGGTGATGTATTACAGAATTGTACCCCTGAAGCCTATATAATTTTATTAAGCAATGTCACCCCCAATAAATTCATTAAATTTAAGACTTTTTCAATAAAAAATGAAAAAAACCTGAAAATTAAAAAGCAAAAGCAAATTAAAGCGAAAAAATCTCATGATCTGTAAGACTGACAAAGTTTAACAAGTGTAAACTGGTTCAACTTTTTGGAGGATAATTTAACAACAATTCTCCTAAAATTTTAAGTGTGAGTATTCTTCCACCATCAATTCTACTACTAAGAATTTACCTTATAGAAACAATTGCAAAAGTATAAAGTAGTAGTTTCATTGCACTGTTGTTTATAGAACTGGAAGTAACACAAGTGTCCATTCATCAAGGATTAAATAAACTATGGGACATCTATATAACACAGCAATATAAAAGACTTCAAGAAGAAAGTCTAATTGCTTAAAGGGAAACAAATGTGTGGAAGGGAAAAAGACTCTCCTAGAAAGGAGAATGGACAGCAAGTGTGGGCTGGAGGTTGGGGGAGAATAAAGGAATAGTTCATACCAGAAAGGCAGATTGACAGCTGCTCATCATCCACTGCAGATGCTTTTTGACTGTTCTTCCCACCTCCCACTTGATTTTCTAGTGTGAGTCCACTACCCGTCAGAGGAGCCTCCAGTGGACTTTTACAGTAAGGGTGGTCCAGCAACTTAGAACTAAGAATGTTCTGCCTACGAGATCCATCCTCATCCATCTGGCATGAGCTCTCTTTCTGAACAGTCTCTTCAGACACAGGCCCATCCACACTATTTACAGATTGATCTGCCCCAGACACTGACAATTTTACTGTGTCATCATTGACAGTACTTGTTCCATTTTCCTGACCCAGAGTCATAGTTTCTCTTTCCGTTTCTGAGATAAACACGTTACTAGAATGGTCTGGTAAGGGGATGTCATGAATCAGCTCTGTAAACTCCCACTTAGGCGAGGAAGAGGGTGACTGGTCCCAGGTGTATGTGGCACTGCCATTCTGTTGGTCACGGAATGCTTCATCTAAACTAAGCTCCTTGCCCAAGAAAGGGCTTCCTTTAGTGCAGCCATCAGCCATATGAGAGTTGTTTCCCTTCACCACAGCACTGCTGTCCATATCTGGGAAGTGCGGTTGATGCTGACAAGAAGGGTCTTTAAGTTCTGGGGAAGGGAATGGGCTGCAACTGCCACCCTCACCGTTCTCCCTAAGAGTCTCTTGGTGGTCCCCAGTGACCTGCACCCAGCTTTGCTGGGCTTTTTTTAGCTTGCAAACTTTGCTTTTTGTTCTGAAGTGCTGGGATCTGAGAATCCTGTACCGAAATCTGATCATGGATAATTTCTCATACATCATAAGAGGAGATGCTTTTATTCTTCTATGTTGGTTAAGCTGGAACTTTTTTGGAGTCAGGGTTCCCCCATTCCTGTGGTGCTCCAGCCCTTGGTAGCAGCCATAACAAAAGCGCTTTCTCTTATGGTTGCTCAAGGTGACCACAACTGCACCACCCTCACCTGAACTTGGGCTGTCCCCATTGAACTTCATGGGAAAGTCAGAAGCTTGCAACTCCGTCCTAGGTCTGTGACCAACGGCCTGACCTAAAACACTATTTTCTGGTAAGTCAGCAACTGCCTGCAAGAGACTTTTCTCTCCACGATACTCATGGTCAGAATTCTTTGCTGACAGCAACTTTTCTGCTTGGAGTTTCAGGAGAGTCCTTGAGGAAATGAAGTGTTTAGTGCTTTTTCTTTTCACTTTAGAGGACAAAGTACTAACACTTTCAGCAGCCACATTCGACTTTGTCTTAGCAAAACGGGGTTCATCCTGGATCCACGTTTTCTGGATTTGAAGGGCCTTCTTTCTACACTGCAAATGCCTCAACTGCCTGCTCCAAGTAATTGGCCTTCCCAACTTTACTTTCAGAATGCACAAGTGCCGGTGAAAGTAGAACTTCTTAAAGCCTCCAAATCCAGTATTCCATTTCTCAGAAAAGGCTAAGTGGATTCCTTTCCTCCATAGAATTTTCCTCTGTTTTTTCATTTTTCTGATGCATAATGAGATCTGGAGGTAGCTGTAAAGAAGAGAAAGAAAAGTTACATTTCTACCCAAAAATTAGGCCATAAAGAGCCCTGCTGCCAGGGATCCCAGTGGTTAGAGCATCATCCAGCTACATAAAGGTTGCAGGTTCAATCCCTGGTCAGGATACATATAAGAATCAGCCACGAGTGCATGAATAGGTGGAACAACAAAATGATGTTTCTCTCTCTCTTTCCCTTCTCTATCTAGGGCTCTAAAAAAATCAATTAAAAAAATTAGGTCATAAAGTTATATTCACAGAAATATAAGTTAGAAAACTGAAAAAGAGAGCACATGAAATTCAACTTAGATTATCAGATATAATGAAATTCTACCTGATCAAGGAATTCCCCACAATGAAAGTTGAGGAGAAAGTAATGAGTATTCTAACATGATCCTGTTTGCTATACCTGCTTATGATAAAATAAGTTTCAAGGATCATTTCCTGCCCGGCCAGTGTGGCTCAGTGGATTGAGCGTCGGGTAAGTGCTCCCACACAACTCTCCACCTCCATCTGAGGACTGAGTGACTCTCAGACTAGAAGTCCCATGGCAGCTTGGAGAAAACAAGTTTGATCCCCAGTAGGCGGTGTGCAGGAGGTGGCTGATGTATGTTTCTTTCTCACGGATGTTTCTGTCTCTCCCTCTCTCTCTCCAGCGGGAAAAAAAAACCATTTCCCAATATGCAGTTTGTAATGGAACAGATAAGGGCAGGGAGTCACAAGAGTTAGAACAGAACTTATTTCTAAGTGTTGACCCTGCTTCTCATTTGCTAAGTGACTTTAAGCAAGTCACCCAAATTCTGTGTTCTCACTTGTAAAATGAAGAATGGAAGGGAGAGGGGACCAGATACCATTCAAGATTGATTCCATGTCAAAACAATTTTTTCCATGTAGCAAATTTTTGAAAGGGAAGGTACTTTTGCTTTATATAGTCATCCACAGGCAGTATTCAATAAATGCATATGCAATATCAGTATCTCAAGAGTAATACCAGCCTCCTCTTTGTCAGTCCATCAATGACTTTCTGAATGACTATGTGGGGACAGGACTGTATCAAGTGCTCTTACCCAGTTATGCTCTCAAAATAAATATAAGAAAAAAGAACCAATGCAGCAACAACTTACAGGAAATGGTGGATGAAAATAATAGTCAAAACCAAGTATGATACCCCTTAGATTTAATAAGATCCAATATTATAGAAGGCTCTCTAGCTAGAGAGAAAGGCACCAACCACTTCAGATGGAGTAGAGGAAATACTAGACTATGAATCAGAAAACCAGTTTTCTAAAATCAGCTTGCTAATAACTTACTAAGAAAAGTTGTATTCCATTCTGTGAATCAGTTTTCTCTGGGGGGAAAAATGGGGGTGGGGACTGAACACATATTTACCTCAGTTCCCTCTCTAAATCCCATTAAGATGACAAAAATGGATTTTTTAAAAGGCAAAACCACTCAAGGACAAAGATAATGAAAAAGGAGATAAGAGCAATACAATTTTTGAAAGAAGCAAGCAGATGAATGAATGTTAACAGACTTAGCAGGCCAAAAGAGCAGAAACTAAGCCAGTAGTAGGGGAAGCCAAGAAGCAAGCTACAGGACCTCAGAAAGGCTTAAGAATTAGAAGCAATAATACCTATGCAGGCCAGGGTATGAGAGGAGTGGGAAAAGGAAGAACTGGTTCAAAGTCTGAATAAAAAAACAGACTCTAAGATCCCTTCTCCTACCCTGGCAGATAACCAAAGTTTCACTTTCTGGGAAGGATGACCCATAATAGTTAGGCACACCATGCATAACTGAGGGCAGGAGTACCATAAGAGGATATTAAATAGGCTTACATAGTGAATTCTCTCCCTAACATCTTTTGCCACTCAGTTCCCAGAAAGGTTTACATCCCCAACAGTATAAACCTTCTTCTCAGGGGAGAAAGGATTATTCAAAGATAAAAGATCAACAGATACTGATATTTTTGGGATGCCTCAACTAAATAGGCCTAAACAATTACTCTACAGTGTACCCCAAAGTTTAAGAAGCAATGAGAACCCAAGCCCCCCCCAACACCACACAGCAAGATTAGTTTATCCTTCAGAAAGGGTAAAATATAAGCTATACTAATGGGGATCCCTGGCATAATTTGAAAATGGAATTATATATTGAAAATAAGACACACACACCCCTAACACATTCCTACTCATCTCCCAGACCCTGGGTAGTCTGTCTTATCCATCCAAGCAGGAGATTGGAAGACTTTCTCTAAAGAATCTGATTAGTCCACAAGAAAATACATATAAACAGATATCCCCCCCAAAATGGCCAAGCATAGCCTACAGTGCACCCCAAAGTTGACAAGTCCCATCACATGTTCAGAATTTCCAAGCAACTTCTTAGTGGTGTTTCTTCAAAATGACAGGATAACCAAGAATCGCCAAACTTTTCTAGTAGACCAAACAGATAAAAGCAAAAACTTATATAGAAAAGTCAACTTTAAAAAACTAAGGGGGAGGGAAGGTGAGTTATTTATTGTTATGGTTGTAGACTTCAGTTTAGGAAGATGAAAAAGGTTCATCAATGGTGGTGATGGTTGCACAACAATGTGGTTTGTTAATCCTCACAAAAGGATATTTTTTCCATTGATTTTTAGAGAGTGGAAAGGAAGGAGGAAGGGGAGAGGAAAGAGGCATTGATGTGAGACAAGTACATCAATTGGTTGCTCCTGCACCTGATGCCACTGAACTGTAAACCTAACAATGATTGAAACGGTAAATTTTGTTATGTATATTTTACTACAATGAAAAAAAAACTAACACAGTCCTCAAAGAAGTAAAAGAAAATCTACTAAGACCCAGAGGAAGGCTCATGTTCCATTTACCCCTTTTGTTGTGTCTGATTAGTGGGGTCTGGCTTACAGGTTGCTAGGGCAAGCAGAGCCTGATGGCGTGGCAGATAGGTTTCAGGAGCAGTCACCGTTCATTGTAGTACACCACTGGCTAAACCTTTTACTCTTAAGTGAATCTACCTCCCTCCCGAAGACTCAGTAAAACAGTGACTGTTCAAAAAAAGAAAAAAAGAATAGAATGTTAATTTATTTATTTTTTACAGGCACTAATTTAAATTAATTTATTTAATTTTTACTTGGGTAGGATTTTTTTTTTAAAAGAACAATCAGTCCTGGCTGGTGTGGCTCAATAGTTAGAGCATGGGTTCCACACACCAAAGGGTCACAGGTTCGATTCCAGGTCACGGCACATGCCCAGGTTGCAGCTCAAACCCCATTAGGAGGCGTGCAGGAGGCAGCTGATGTTTTCACTCTCACACTGATGTTTCTCTCTCTCCCCCTCTCCCTTCCACTCTCTGTAAGAATCAATAAATATATATATATATTTTTTAAAGATGAGAATAAAGAATTTCTTAGCCCTGGCTGGGTAGCTCAATTGGTTAGAGCACCATCCCAATACACTAAGGTTTCAGGTTCGATCTCCCATCAGGGCACATACAAGAAGCAACCAATGAATGCATAAATAAGTGAAACAACAGACTGATGCTTCTCTTTCTTTCTAAAATCAATAAATAAATTTTTAAAAAATTTTCCTTAAACTACTTTTTAAAGATATAATTTACATACATAGATCTTAAGGGTTTGCTTTGTTGTTTGGTGTGTTTTTATTTAAAGCATATGCATACAAAATGAAAGAGAGGACAACAGAACCTTTTGGAAGTTGGAATGTAGATTGACTTAAAGACCTAAGACGGTTAAATCTCAAGCTGCAATGAGGAAAGCAATCCAATTTCTACACAGCAGTGCCTCAAAACAGGTAAGGAATGGCGGCAGCAGGTTCTATAAGAGGGGTTTGGTAAATACGGTGCTAAAAACAAGAGGATTGGTCAGATCCTACTTCCCACAAACCAGCCTACTACCCCTCAGCCATCTTTGCAGAAGCTTGGAGAATTATTTTCCAGATTAAAACAGTGCTGTGCAATAAAACTCCACAATGACAGAACTATCCTACATCTGCCCTGTCCAATATGGTAGCTGGACACACAGTTATTAACTACTGGAAATGTGTCTAGTGCCACTGAGGAACTAAAATAAGTGGAACAACAGATTCATCTTTAATTTTATTTAATTTCAATTATTTAAGTTGCTACATATGGCCAGTGGTTACCACATTAGACACTGCAGTTCTAAAGGTAAAACAAAGGATTCCTGGACTTTTCTGGAAAACATCTATTACAGTTGTGACTGAGGGTGCCATAACAGAGTTAAAATGAATGTAAGTGAGGGCTTACATACTGAATGCTAAGACTTCTACTCTTTTCTCCAATTTAGCTAACAGATTGCTGGCAGCCCAATTTATAAGCTCTAAGCTAGAGATTTGAAGATTCTTCCTTGGGGAATCTAACTAGCTCAAAGGAAAAGACAACAATACTGCTATTGAAGGTTCTCTAATAAAAGACTCCAGCAAGTGCACCCTAAAACTTACAAATCCCAAGCATGCACTCAGAGCACATGTAATTAAAAGCAACCTCTCCATAAGGTCCCTTTACATTTCTGAGCCTGTATTCTCAGCCATGTTTTGTGTGTTCATGTTCACCAAATATCAACATTCCTTAATAGATAAAACACATACACAAGGAAAAACAGAAGTGAGCTTTCAACTCTTATGAGGTACTCAATGACCCTAGGACAGCTCAAATTCTGAATCTTTAAGGGGCCCAATATTTGGTTAAAAATTTGAAGGGAAGCCACTGGACAGGTTAACTCAAGCATTACTACAAAAAAGTTATTTCTCCTAGAGGTAAAAAGACAGTGATGAGAATAGCTGTTGTGTAGTAAATAAACAGGAGTGGGGTTACCTACCTCAGAAAATGAGGCAGAATAAATGGTTTGTAGTATGAAACAACACTGAAAACAAAACAAATATTTCCCATTGGTATCAGAGGGCATTAATGAATCATAAAAAAAGATCAAGACAGAATTAGAGAATTGTACATTTATGGTACCTACTGATGATACTTTCTTCACATTCAGCCACCAGATATAATGTGGATTAAGTTAAGTATCCAATTTTGGTCTCAAGTCCTTACAGACACAGAAGACTACCTCCAGGACCAGTAAAAAGTAGCCTTCTAAACATTTTTCACTAGGTCTTCGGGTTGTTACAACACTACCCCTGCCTTTGTTCCTATATTAAATCTTTCCTATCGGTTTTTAAATTTTTTTATTCCATCACCATTTATCCCCTCTATGCCCTCTTCCACCTCCATCCACTGCCTCCTCCTCTTTAATATCAGTTTAGATTAAAATTGTGATCCTGGGTTCATGTCTATCATTTCTAAATACCTCTACTTGAAAATTTTGCTCTGTCAGAATCTGAAATTCAACAATTTCTAAAACTTCAGAATTAAAATATTTCAAACTTGGTTTTTTATTTGAGTCTCACATCATATGTTTCTCTAGACTCTGAATTCATAGACTACATATCTGTTAACATGGCTTTTTTAATCAGCAAATTTAGAATGTTCTTTGTCATCTGGTTGTAGGAAGTTAACATGCTATAGACTGGATCATTTTTAGAAAGAAAATAATTCAGCATCTTCCTTTAGAGGATTTGTGATGTAGGTAGGGTTCATTTCTGGCTCTACTAACATAGAATAGGAATTACTGGAGCAAATTTGAGGGTGAATGTATTTCCCTAAAGAGAATGTTCAACTCTTTAAAATATTACCCCCCCCAATAAAAGTCATGAGGTTTTCACTATAACAGGTAAGAAAAGTACACATGAGGCACTTACCACCTCATCAGCTGATGCTTTCTAGGCATCTACCAAATTCTTTAAATCAGTGGTATAGTACAATTTAACCAAGAAAAGTGACTAAAAATTCAAGGACAAGCTTAAAGCAAATACTGAAAGCCTTTAATTAAATCAGGTGTTTATAAGACAATATAGAGCTCAGTTCTCAAACTGAGTTCCATAGGAAGCTGGCTAGTGATACAAAGTTAAGTGGTCATGCATACCAGAAT